GGAGTCGGCTGGGCCTCAGCCCCGTCCCTCCCTTCCCCCGAGGCTGGGCCTGGGGTTCGCTGCCAAGGGAGGGGCCTCAGGTGGAGGGGTGTCTGGCCCATCACAGATGCCACCCTCCCCTACTACCCCCTGTCACAGACCCCAGGCCTCAAGGGGGTGCAGGATGGGGGCGGGGGGGGCAGGAGTGTGGTCACTAGAGCCTAGCAATGAGGGGTTCTTCCGGGAACCTGAGCCTTCCTCTGAAGGTCGCAGGGCCCTCGGCAGCCTGGCCGGCCCTGGGGAGGCCCACCTGGGAGGGCGGTTCTTCTCGCCAAGGCCACTCTCTCGCACCTGCTCTCTGCCAGGCCTGCAGATGCGGCTGGTCTGACAGGCAGGACAGAGCTGGCATTTAATCTAATAAAATGAAGGAGTCCAAGAAATCAGACCCAGACCGGCCAACGCCCACTGTTTCTCTGTGGTGGTGCCTGGAGGGTCCAGCCTGAGGCAGGATAGGAGACCTGCGGCCAGACGAAGGGGTAGGCGCCCTGGTGTTCCAGGCGGAGGTAACAAGGCCAAAGTCCCATGAGAGGGGGAGGGGGGCGGGTACTGGGCAGGGACCTAGGGGCATGGCTGGGAGGCTGCACTGGGCCGGGGGAGGTGGGGGAGGGGCTGCGGGGGGGGGGAGGGGATACAGCGCAGGGCCAGCCCAGGGTGTCATCCTGAGTTCCCACCCCTGAGAAGCGGCCTCTGACAACACTGACCTTTCTGGTTCCTTCCAAGCTCCTGGTGCATTTCACAAAACCAGGCAGCTCCGCGTCACTGCTGTGGGAAGGGCTCATCCGGAGTCACTAAAGCTGCTGGGGGAGGGGGGGGCGTCCAGGCTGGACCCCGGGCTCTGCGGCCCTGGCCCGGGACCCCCTGCACACTGAGTGTACATCAGTCTGTGGAGGGTCCCTTATTTGAGCAGCCTGGGATCGCGTGCTTCCTGACCGGGGCAGGATCCTCCTGGGGGAGCCCAGGTTGGGGGAACTGGCCAGCCCTGGTCTCCTGGCCCCTGGGCACACCCAAGCCTGTCTGTGCTCCTCTGGGGCACCTCCCACCACAAAGATGCTCACGGGTCAGGCCCACGGTGGGCAGGGTGAGGGGCATGGCCTGGGAGCCGGGCATGCGGCAGAGCTCTGGGGTCACAGGGCTCCCAGCGTAGGGGCCTTGGCCGGGTAAGCCTTCCCAGACCACGTGTCCTCAAAGCCAGGGAGAGCGCGGTGGGGCCAGCTGGGGTCACAGGCGGGGGGACAGGGGTCCACTCCTTCCAGAGCAACCAGGGGCCTGCCACGGGCTCCCCTCCTGCTGGGAGTGCCAGGGCTCTTGCCTGACCCTGTCCTTTGGAGGGGGGTGCACAGCCCAGGAGGTAAGGGGTGCCGCTCGCTTAGGGAAGGGCTCAGCTGCGGCTCTGGCCCCCTTTCTGTGCCCCAGGACTGTCCTCTGCCCACTGGCCTTCAGCCCCCCATGCTCCGGGCCGGCTGCCACGGTGGACTGTGCCCGCCAAAGGCCACGGGAAGGCTCTGGGCTGAGAGATGGCCGAGAGGGCACTGGGTCCCGCGGGTCTACAAACTCCTCCCAAGACCGCGCCCAGCTGTGAGTCTTCAGCACACCCAGCTGGTCTGCGCCCCCCCCCCCCCCGCCCCTGGGTTCCACCACTGCTGATGGAGGCCGTTCAGCTCGGTGTCCGCCCCCCGCCTCTCTGCCCGAGGACGGGGTGCACGTTCTCACCAGCTGGGCTCCCTGGAAGGGCATCAGAGCAGCCCTCCCAAAGTGGTGGCCCGAGAATTCCAAACCACAGCGCCTCAGACAAACCGTCCTGGTGACGGTGACGGAGCAGAGCCCGGCCACCCGAACCGCAGGGCCGCCTCCTCACACAGCGAGGCAGGGACACCACTCTGTGCAGCCTCTTCCGAGGGTGCAGGGCCCAGTGAGAGAGCTGGGTTCTGGGTACACGGGGTCCCGCACCGTTGTCTGTCAGCAATTGTGGCTGTGACGACGCGGCCTGCGTGGGGAGCCAGTGGCACCCCGCCCCCCCACCCCTGCTTCCTGGAGAGCCTTCCCAAGTTTACCAGGCTCAGGAGTCAGGTGAGCTGCCTGCCCCGCCCGCCCCCACAGCTGCTCTGTGGATGGGGCTGAGCAGGGGGCTCCAGATGCCCCTGCGGGGGTGAGGGGCTCAGGCAGGGGCCATCCTGAGGGCAGTTTGTCTGGCCCAGGGGTGAGGACGAGTCTGCCGGGGCCAGGTGTACCCACTTAAGCTGCCCCCTGTCCCCACCCCCCACCCCAGGTCCCAGTTACCCCACGGCTGGGGGCTGGGCGAGGAGGGGCTCTGGTTTGGGGCCTCCCATCTGGTGGTGGCCAGAGTCTCGCAGGAAGAGGAAGACAGGCTGCTTCCATGCCCCTCGCCCTGGGGCTCCCCCGGGGATGCTCCCCTGGACTGAGTGACACGATGCTGGGCAGTGGGGAAGGGGACGCTTCATTAGGCACCAGCGCCCAAAAGGTGCCCAGTAAATGTGGGGGCAGGAAATGAATGACTGACCAAGTCCCTCCTCCTTGCTAACCTGCTCCCCTGGCTGACCCTTGGACCTTTTGGCCTCAGTTTCCCCACTTGTAAGTAGGAAAAGTGGCTGGCTGGCCTGGGAGTCACAGGAAGACAGGAGACTTTGGGGGGCCACCTGGGGGTGACTTGCCGGAAATGTGACATGGGCATCAGGGGCGTCAGGGGCAGAGAGGGGCCTCCCCTGCCCTGCCCTGCTCACCTCCCCGCAGAGGTCCCCTCGAAGAAGCCAGTGTGTAGCCTGGCTGGGGGAAAGCCTCCGTCCTTCGTGCTGCCTCCTCCCTGGGCACACCAGCTGGCCCGGGGGGGGGGGGCAGAGGGTGGGCACTGCCCCCAGCCCCTTTCACCACCTTCCCCTCTGCCCCCTTACCCCCAGCGCTCCCACCACCAGTTGCTTGGGGGCAGCTGTCCGCGGGGAAGCAGCTAGCCCCGTGAAACCTCCCTGCGCTGGGCGGGCTGCCTCCGCACACTCTCGGGTGGCCACTCCCCCTCCCGCCTGCTCGATGCCCTCGGATAGGGAGGCCTGGCCGCTAAGCTCAAAGGGCTCCCACTCACCACCCCGCTGGCCCCTCCAGTGATGCTGGGAAGCTGACCTGCGGTGGGGTGGGTTCCCAACCTCCCGCGCCCAGCCCACCAAGACCCCCAGCTACCAAGGGGGTGCCACCGGCCAGGGCGCAGCGCGGCGCGGTGATGTACGCAATGGGGGGACCCCTGGGCAGTAGGGAGGGCGGGGTGAGGGCAGCTCAAATTCCCCGTTTGGGAACTCTGCTGCTGCCTGGGGGTGGCTTTCCGCCTGTCCTTCACAGAAGACCAGAAATTAGCTCACGAGCTGGCCGGCTGGCTGGGGGACTCCAGAAATCTCCACAACCCCCGCCCACCCACCTACCCTCGGGGCGGCTCCTCCCCCCCCAGAACTTCTCCTACAAGGGTAACCACCCCTTTTTACCCTCCCCCTCCCTCCCAGTGGAAGCACAAAATTATGGCGGACTGGAGGGGCAGAGGAAGGTCACCCCCTCGCCTCTTTCCCAACTTGGAATACAAGGGGCCTCCCAGTTCCCTTGGGACACAGGGCTTGCCGGAGGCTGGGGACGGCCAGAAAGATGTGGATGGTAGTGCAACCTTCCGGAACAGCTGTGGCTGCAGGACCCCACCAGGACCAGCTGCCCGCCACCCAGGGCTGTCCAGGGGGGTCCCACGTGGGACATACACCCAGCTGGCGTGGCTCAGAGACTGGGGGGAGCTGCCAGCTCAGCAGCTGCGCAACACCCCCCTCCTCCCCCAGGCTCCCCATGAGGCCGATTTGGGCCAGGAGCCGGAGGGGAGGAGACCCAGTGGCCACAGCCACCCAAACGCAGAAACAGCTGGGACACAAACTGAGCTCTGGCCTCTAGATCCTGTCTCATTTCCCAGGCATCTTCCAGAGAGCAAACGCCTGCCCAGCACGGGGGAGTAGCCCTGAGCAGAAGATGGTGGAGGCCACAGGCACCTCCCAGGCACGGGGGGTGGGGGTGGGTCGCAGCTGGCCAGGTACACCACAGGTGCTCAATAGATGTCCTTTGCACCCCATCTTCCTGGCACCCCCAGGGCTCTGAGCAAAGTGGGCAGCTGGGCCCTGTGCCTCTTGATCCATTTCCCTATTTCAGAATATTTTAAAGCCAAGTCTGGCGCCGGTGGGAGCTGGCCAGGTTGAATCTGACCCTACCGCCGCCGGGTCGCAAGGGGTCCCCAGTGTGGGTCTTTCTATCCCTCTGTAGTCGGGATTTCCTTAGGGTCCCCACTCAGGCCAGTCACGGCTGGTAAGAGCTCACTTTGTCCACCTGCAGAATGATGCACATATGGGGGCAGCAAGAGGGGAGAAACCCCCAAAACCCAGCACGAGAGGGTGAGGTTGCAAGGGGTCTCCGGAGGCCGCGCGCGTCAAGTCCAGGGAAACCGAGAGCGCAGGCTCCGGGGGGCAGTGGCCGTGGGCGCTGAGCCGTCCTGAGGAGGGGTGTGGACCGGCGGGGCGGTCGTCGGGACAGCCGGCGAGCGCCGGGCCAGCGCGCCTGCCTTTCCGCGCAGCGCCTGCCCCCGGGCCGCCGGGGGCGCTCGGCCGCCGAGAGGTGCCCAAAGTTAGGGAAACAAAGAGCGGAGCCGCCGGGCTGGGAAGAGCGGGCCCGGGCGGCAGGGCCGAGGGGGCGCCGCTCGGGACCGGGAGTCCGGCCCCGGGGGCCCGTGGTCGGGCCGCGTTCCCACGGCCTGGCCCGGGGCCAGCAGGTGCCCCTTCAGGGAGGCCGACCGGGCCGGGGTCCGAAGGGTTAAGGCCACCGGCCGCCCCTCCCCCGCCCCTTCCCCGGGGCGCGGGCGCCCGGGCGGGCCGGGGCGGGGCCTGACGTCCGCGGGCGGGGCGAGCGGGCCGGCCGCCGCCGCACTCCCGCCGGGCTCCCGGGCGCAGCGGTCCCCGGAGCTGGAAGATGGCGAGGCCGGACGCGCGGCTCTGCGCGGGGGGCGCGCGGGGGCTCCCCGGGCCCCTGCTCCTGGCCGGGGTGGCGCTGCTGGGCGCGGCGCGGGCGCGGGCGGCGGCGGGCGACGGCTTCAGCCTGCACCCGCCCTACTTCAACCTGGCCGAGGGCGCCCGCATCTCCGCCTCGGCCACCTGCGGCGAGGAGGCCCCAGCGCGCGGCGCCCCGCGCCCCACCGAGGACCTCTACTGCAAGCTGGTGGGCGGCCCCGTGGCCGGCGGAGACCCCAACCAGACCATCCAGGTGCGCGCGGGCCGGGACTGGGACGCCGCCGGGCGGGGCGGGGTGGCGGGGACCTGGGCGCCGGGGACGGACTTGGCGGGGAGCGCCCAGGTATGGACCGAAGCTCCCGCGTCCCGTCCGGACGCCCTGGTTCCGCATTTCGAGAAACGGGAGGGACCCCGGCTCGGCCGTCCAGGCCCGGCCAGAGACGTGCGCGCCCCCCTCCGTGAGGGCGGGACGCAGCGGCCCCGGCTGCGGCGGCGGGGCAGGAGGGGGACCGGTCCCGGGCCCCTGGCGTCCCCAAGTCCCGGGATCCTGGCGAGGGCGGGACTCGGCCTCCACGGAGGCTGCCTGTGGGGTGGGGTGGGCCCGCTCTGCCTTGCCCCGGGACAGGCTGGAGCTCGCTGGGTGGGGAAGGGGCTCCGGTGCCGGCGGATTGCCGGGTGTTCCTGGAGCTTGGGGCCAGAGCGGGAGGCCCGCACTGCGGGTAGCAGGGGGTGAAGTTCCCTTTGGGGATCTAGGGACTTGGGACCCTCAAGGTGTGTGTGGGGGGCAGACAAGGGTGTTTTGAACTGGGGACGGGAATGCAGACTCTCTCAGGGGCAGCGTTCCTGCCCAGCAGGTGCTGAGTCGGTGGGTTTGGTCTCCCTGGGGAGATGTGGTTCTGACGCCTGCAGACGCCCTGCGAGGCATGCCCACCCAGGCCACGAGTCTGTAGGTGGGGAATGGGTTAGGTAGCACCGCCTGGCATTGACCCCTGGCCAGGAAAGCAGGGCTGTTAAGACGCTCTGGACTTAGGTCAGGGCTGGGGGTTACCCTTTCGGGGGCAGGGGCGGGTAGGGTCTGCTCCAGGGGCTCCCTGACACCCCGTGGGAGACCCATCTTCTCACCCTGTTGAACCTTAGGGAGAGTGGGGGCCCGGGGCTGGTGTAACCTGAGTCATTTAGTCCCAGTAGAAGAGGTTGGGGGAGGGGAGGAGGGCAGTTGCAGAGTGGATTAGCTGGGGTGGGTGATGAACGGAGGAGCCTCAGCTGGGCGCCCTGCACTTCCTGCCTGCCCACCGCCCGTACCCAGTGGACGGAGGGGCTGAGAGCGAGCCCTCACTGTCTTGGGCTCCTGGGCTCACCTTGTGCTCTCCTCTGAGCCCAGTACAGCTGATATAAGAGGTATCACGCCCACATCTCAGGTAGGGAAACTGAGGCCTGGAAAGCTACGGACCACCTGCTGGAAGCCCCCCAGCCAGGCCAGGATTTGGCTCAGGTGGGCAGTGGAAAGCTGGGGTTTCCCTTCTGCAGCACCCCCCCCCGCCCCTGTACATATGGTTGATGTCAAAGGGGCTGGGTCCCCAGAGCTGCCCCAGAGTGCCTGGCTGAGCCTTCGCTGCCTTATTGTGCATCTGAGCACCCCCCCCCCCAACTCCTCACTGGGCACCTGGGGGAAGGGGCTGCACCTGGAGGGGGCTGCAGAGCAGCAACTCGAGGATGTCTGCAGGGAGGGGCCTGTGTTGCTTCCTTATTGTGCTTGAAGGAGCAGCCCAGGGGCCCCTGGTCAAACCCTCTTTCCTCTGCTCCTTAACTCTGCGATTTCTCCCCCTGGGCCTCAGGCTCCTCATCTGCAAAATGGGCACGGTAGGAGAGGCTTCTTCACCTGAGTTTGTGAGCTTAGCCTGGGGACCTTGGGGAAGCCATCAGTTACATAGTGAGTGCTGACAAGCGTGGTGTCGCAGGGGAGCAAGCAGGCCCAGAGTGAGCCCCCAGCCCCCACAGCTCACGGTCTGCAAGAAAGAGGCAGACGCTTCCTTTTGAACGACTGTAACCCTTGCTGGTTAGCGCCCTGGTTCTGAGGCCGCCAGGTGTGCTAGAAGGTCACTTGGTCTGGCGGACACAGGCTGGACAGCCATGCAGCCTCGGACGAGTCCCTGGCCCGGCCGGTGCCAATGCCCTCTCCTCTCAGGGCAGAGGGCCCGCTCACCGCCCCGGCCTTCCCATGGGCTGGCGATAGGGCCTTGCCCACAGGCCCCAACTGGAGCCAAGTGGCCAGGGGTAGGAGGTGCCAGGGAGGTGACACCCACTTTCTGTCCATCCCGAGAGCGCAGTCTTGTGCCAGCATGGGCGTTCGGTCACAGAGGATGTGAGGCCCAAGGATGGGGCCAGGCTGGCAGCTCCCAGGGCCCCTGGAGAAAAAGACACAGAAGCTGGTGGGGGGTTCCCATCTGGGGCCTGGGGTGAGGGCTGCTGTCCCGGCAGAGTGGGCACTGGAGCGGGCAGAGGGCAACTTGGCATTCAGGCCCTTGTGGCCTCAGGTGGGCATTGCGGGAATTCCGGGCTGGCCCTGGGCCCTGCAGGGGAAGTCGGGGGCTCCGCTGCCTGCGTGGTGACTCATGGGGAGGGGACATGTTGCTCCCTGTTTCCTCACTGTGTTCCCGGCAGGACCCTCTGCGGCGGAGGGTGGGAGGAGGCTGGCTTCCCCAGCGCCGTCCACTGTGAGCCGGAGCCCGGAGCCAGGGGCGCCCGCTGCAGCCTCCTGTGGGGACTAGACTCAGCTCTCCGTGACCGGCTGTCGGTGGGGGTGGGGGGAGGGCTGAGCAGAAACTCTCCTGACCTCCTTGACTCTTGACCCAGCTTCCACACAGTGCTCCCGGGCTGGGTTGAGGGGGCTCCGACCACAGGCAGCCGTCTCTGGAAGGCCCACCGACCCAGCCCGGTGGCCCTGCCCGCCTCCCCTGGCTTCGGGTGTGGGGGCGCCACGCAAGCTTGGCAGTAGAGCCCGCACGGATGACGCCACTGTTCCGGGGGGCCACTGCTCCAGCCCTAGGTGTGGCCGCTCTGGGGGGCGGGCGTGGGGCACAGTCGCGAGCAAGGCCGTGGTCCCCCCACCGCTGAGCTCTGGGCCCCTGAGCGGGGGGCAGTGAACAGAGTTCACTCAGCCGGGAGCTTCAGGGCCTGAGATAGGAAGCGGAAGGGGGGGTGATGAACGGGGCTCGGAAGGTTAGCTGCCTGGGTGGTCTGGAGCCCTGGGGCCTTGCGCGGGGGGTGACAGCTGAGACAGGACAGGAGATGAGGGTCCGGAGCCCACAGGCGGGAACGAGGTCTGAGACGGGGTGGCACCAGGGCTGCTGGGAGGCTGCTGCGTGGGGGCCCCGATGCGTTTTGGCCTCACGGGCCTGGAGCGGACGTGTCCAGGAGGGGCAGGGGCGCGGCTGGGGGGCTCTCCGTGGCTGCCAGGCCTGGGAGTGGGGGAGCAGGGGATCTCCCACGCTCCCACCTCCAACTCCTAGGACAAGGTCTGGCCCCCGGGGAGGTTGGGAGGGGTGGGGCGGCCACATTTCCCAGACGCAGCCTCTGGGGCCTCAGTCAATGCCAAGTCCCAGAGGGCGCCTTTGTGTGCCGAGGGATGGCAGGTCTGGTTTCCTCTGGGGTGGGGGTGGGGCCTCCACTCGGCCTGAGGCCAGGGCCCAGCTCTGCACGCCACCAACCCCCCCCAGGCTCCTGGCACCTGCTCCTCCCTGACAGGGACGCCTCTGTCCCCCCAGAGGACAGGCCCCCGGCAGGTGGTTGGACCGTGACAGGAGCAGCTGCCGGGCCCCATGTGGGATCTGTTAATCGTGCTGTGGCCCAGGCAGGTGCCGCTGTTAGCCCCACTCTCTGGATGGGGACACTGAGGCTCCCCATGCCGTGAGCTGGCCTCGTCCCAGGGGCTCGGAAACGGCACAGCCAGGAGGTCCAGGCCTCGCCCGCCGGCTGCCCGCACGCCTGCACTCTGGAGCCTCTCCCCACAGGCCACCGGAATGGCTTAATTCCATCTCTCTGGAGACCCTAATCCAGGCTCCCGGCTCCGGGTGAGAGCCTGGGGGGGGCGGCGGCAGTGGAGCTGGGGAGGCAGCCTGGCTCTGGCGTCCTGGGCCCCCCCACCCGCCTCCCTGCTGTACGGGGGTGTGACGTCCCTCTGCCCGGCCCTCCTTCCCCTCAGCTCCGGCTGCATCCGTCTTTTTGCTGTTTACCCCTCACGTCACCCCGGCCTGGGGCCTGGAATGCACACTCCACTTACAGCGCAGGCCTCAGATCCGCCTCCTCAGGGAGGCCCACACTGATTTCCCCACGTTAGGAGGGTGCTGCTGCGGAGAGGGGTGTGATTGGGTCTCGATGAGCCAGGTGCCCTGAGTCCAGCACGGAGCAGGCGCTCCGCGGGCGTTTGCCGGGTGGACGGGGACCGGCAGGTTGGTGGCTGGGAGGATGACTGGCCGTCTGAGCGCCCCCTCCCCGCAGGGTCAGTACTGCGACATCTGCACGGCCGCACACAGCAACAGGGCGCACCCCGTGAGCAACGCCATCGACGGCACGGAGCGCTGGTGGCAGAGTCCGCCGCTGTCCCGGGGACTGCAGTACAACGAGGTCAACGTCACGCTGGACCTGGGCCAGGTAGGGCCCCTCTTGTGCCCCGGTAACCCCCACCTCTGCAGCCGGGCTAGAGCTCGGGTGGGGCCCCTGGGGGGCTGGGCACAGGTGGCTGCTGGCTGCAGGCCCATGCTGGCAGAGGCCTGGGTGGGGGATGGGGGCTTCTGTTTGTTTGTCAACATCCGGGCTGCACTCAGGGAGGGAGGAGGGTGGGAGGGGGCTCCCCAGGGGTCACGGGGGGAGGGGCACGGAGGAGCGCCTGGTGTTTACTCAGAGGAATTCCTCTGCCTGGAGCCTGGCTCTGGCTGGCGGCTGTGGGAGGAGGCCCTGGAAGTGGACATTCCTGGGATACCTGAGCTGCAGTGGGGGCCACCTTGGGGTTAGGTGCGCACTCAGGCCACGGCTCTGGCCCTCCTTGGCTTTGGAGGCCCCTGTGGGGGGGGAGGGGGAAGCCGGGCACATCTTGTGACCCACAGACCCCACTTGCTGGCTCTGGGCTGGGTCAGACCCCCTAGGCTGTGTCCTGCTCCATGTGCGACTTTGTCAGGTGCCTGGCCTTGAGGTCCTGCCTGTGAAATGGGCCAGCAGTCCTGTCGCCGCTGGGGCTTCAGAGGGGGCAGGTGGATGAGCCCGAGCCTGGAAGCAGCGAACACCGGGTCTACCCCAGGTCTGGGCCATGAGGTCGAGCCTGCAGACCCTTGCCCATCCCGGTGTGTGACCTGGTGGGTGGGTCTCTGGTCCTGGTTGAGCCCCTGCCCCGCTGTCACCCTGATGATGTTAGAGGTGGTGAAGTGGCTGGAAGGGCAGGTCCCGTGGGCAGATTTGGGGTACGTTGGGGTTACCTCCTGCCCCCAGCCTGGAGGCCTGCAGGCCTGGCCCAGGGGAAGGCAGGCAGTGAAGAGGTAGGTCAGGTCCCAACAGGTGGCCTGGCGTTTCCAGTGGGAGAAGCAACCAGAGTGCAGGGGGAGGGGTGGGCCGGGGAAGGGGATGCTGGGGGAGGGGTGGGTAGGGGGCGGCCCCCTTAAAGGGCTCCTTGCCCGTGTTTCCCTGGGGCTGGTGGCGGTAGCCAGCCCAGGTCTGCAGGGGGCTTGCTCTGTTTCCCTGCAGCTCACTGGGTTTCTACAACCTCTGTGCTCTCCTGTCCCCTGGAAGCGGCCTGGGAGGGGCCTGTGGGACCCTGGGATCCTCCTCTCTCTGGCACTGCCCTGGGGTCCACAGGAGGGAGGGCGGGGAAGTGGAGGCCGCTCCGCCCCAGAGTCAGAGGCACCTGTGCTGAGCTGGCATATTCTTGCCCCTCCTCCTCCTCCGGGGGACAGACCCGGCTGGGGAGGGAGGGAGGAGGCCCCGAGCTGGGTGCACAGCGGCACGGTCTCCATGGCAACCCCCGGGTGGCCGAGCAGAGCAGGTGGGCACAATGTCTACCTGAGGTACAGTGAGTGGGGCCGAGGAGGAGCTTGGACGGTGCCCCACACCCTGCAGCTCTGGCCCCTTTGGGCTCTGTGGCCCCTGAGCCTTGGCCTCCACATCTGTGAAATGGGACAGAGTTGATGAGGCTGGTGGTACATTTGCTTGGCGGACTGGGTCCAGGCCAGCAAGAGGGTTCACCACGTGTGTATCTGGACTCTCCAACTCTCAGTTTCCCCAACTGTAAAATGACACAGAGGGAGGACGGTCATTTCCAGCTGTTTGGGGGAGATTGACTCACCCATCCACCTAGCCATTCTTCTCTCTCTTCCTCCTCTCCCCTCCCTTTCTGTTTTCCACGCACCCATGCACCCCCTCACCCACCCCGTCCATGCATCCATCTATTATCCATCCACTGTCACCCAGCCGCCCACCCGTCACCTGCCCACCCATCTACCCACCTGCTCACCCACCTTCCCACCCATCACCTGCCCATCCATCCACCCACCTACTCATCCATTCGCCCACCCACGCCTCCCTCTCTCCTCCGCCTGCCTTTACTGACTGCGGACAAATCCACCAAAGCCCCCGTCTTGGTGCGGCCAGAGGACTGCCAGCCTGGCGTGGGTTGGGAGACGGGAGGACAGATCCTGCCTGATAAAGTGCTTTGGGGTTGGATGGGGCAGACGAACCCAGTTTCTTTCTAACTTCATGGGTAAGAGATCTCTTTCCTGGGGATATTTCCCAGTGGAGATAGAATTCTGGAGGAAATTCCCGAATTCGCCACCTTCCCTCTTTGGAAAGGGAGCTCATTGCCTGTTCTTCCCTGAGCCATCGAGCAGTGACTGGGTCCCTCCGGGGTGCCCTTCTGGCTGTGGTTGGGGACAGAAAGCAGTCCCTGCCATTAGTGCCCCGTTGGGGGTGGAGGAGCCCCATCTAGAGCGAAGGCTCTGGAGGGCAGAGCAGCAGGGGCTGGAGCTCCCGGGGAGATGTTTTGGGGAGTAGACCTAGAACATGGCCCTCACAGTGACCTGAGGTCGGAGCCCTCGAGGCCCCCCCTTGCCTGGCGATGGAGTGGCTGGTGCCTAGTGACACTGAGGATGTCCTCAGGGCAGGGCCCTCTGAGTGCACTCCCTGGGGCGGATGGGGTGACCGGCTTGGCCCAAGGGGCAGACGCTTCCAGGTTTTCCGCCGTGGGGGCGAGGCAGTGGGGTGGGGCTGGGCTTCTGTCAGGAAGCAGGGCTGAGCGGGCAGTGGGGCTGGGCACACCCCCTGTGGCAGGCTGCCAGCAGCCTTTGTTCTGGGATCTGGAGCGGATACCCTGGGAAGGGGGAGGAGGCAGCTGGCATCGGGCATCGGGAGGCCTTCCTGCTCCTGGAGAACTGGGCAAGGGGGCCAGTGGGCTGCGGGATAGCTTCTGGCCATGAGGGTGGGCGCAGGGCTGCGGGGCTCCATCCCTGCCCTGCAGCGTCCGTCTGTCTGGAGGCAGTGGGGCCCCCAGGACCAGGTGAGCCCGCTCCTTCTTTCCCTGGTCACTTCGCACCCTCGTGTGGTCTTTCCCGTGTCACGGTAGAGGGCGACCGGTTGGACCCTCCTCCTTTCCGTTTTGCAGATGGAGAAACTGAGGCTCTGGGAGCAAAGTCCTGGCTGGGAGGGGGTGGGGAGGCCCAGGCCTTAGCTCCCTGCCCTGCTCGCCTTGTGGACCTTGGCTGGGAACTCTCAGACCCGAGAGAGCCAAGCTGGTGGTGGGACCTCGTAGGCCACCAGCCTCAGAAGCGGGCCTGCTCCGAAGGGTACAGGGAGACTACGCCTGGCACTTTCCTGGGTCCCAGTGACCAGCCTGGGGGTCTTCCCAGGGGGCCTTCTGCCTGCCTGAGGCTCCGCCTTCCCTGAACCCAGGGCAGGGCGGATCTTCCGATTGCCCGGGCTGCACCGCAGGGTAGCTCCTGACTCGGGGGCCCTGTCCCCTCCAGGGACCCTGCCTCGGGGTCCCGGGCCCCTCCCCCACAGCCCAGTGGTCTTAAGGAGCGGGGCACACCCGGTCTGGCTGCGTTCTTGTCCTGAGGTGGGGCAGGTCAGCCCTTCGTACCCGCCCTGAGGGGTACGGCCGGGGTAACGGTGCGGGGGATGGGGGCCAGCGCCAGGGTGTGAGGCCAGAGGTGCTGGGACTGGAAATGCCAGGGCGAGGAGCCTGTGCCCTCCTTGGGGGCAGTGGGGGGACAGGGAGGGCGCCACCCACCAGATGGGAGAGTGAGGAACAAAACTTTGGCGCAACTGCCAGCCGTTGGTGGGCAAGCTCTCCGTGGGCACTTGGGGAAACTGAGCCAGTGTGGAGCGACCAAGACCCTGTTACTGGTGTCTAGAGGACTTGCGGGCTTGGGCACAGCCGGGCCACACGGCCTCCGTGCCTCCCGGGCTGTCCCCTCCTCTGACTGTGGGGACAAGAGCACCCGCCTGACCCTTCGGCTGCTGGGACCCCCCCGTGAGGCTCTGGCCGCCCCAGTTCTGGGCAGGACGCCCTCGGAGGCCGGCCGGCTCGGGGCTCCCCTGGCAGGCCTCCTGGTCCCCGGGTGCCTGCTGGCCTGGCTTTCTGGCCCAGCTGGGCACTCGGCCACGTGGCCAGCACCCTGGGAGTGTCAGCGGGTCGTTCAAGGGAAGTGGCAGGAAGTGTGGCCATGGCTGGCCGGGCTCTGGTTACAGAGTCCAGCAACCAGGCAGGTGCGGGCTGGTCCGGACAGGGCCCCTTGAGCTGGGCTGCCTGGGGGAGGACAGTGAGGGGGTCCTGGTGATGCTCCTGGGGTAGACACCCCCTTCTCCAATACAAGTCCCCCATCCTGAGAATGAGCAGGACTCTTTGCTCAGAGGACATGGGGCCAGAGGGGCGGCCGCGCCCAGGTCCGGGCTGCAGCTCACTGCCACCGCGCCTGCACACAGCCACCCAGCACCCAGCACAAGGCACACACGCCTCCCTGCTGCCCCACACGCCCTCCTGTCCAGGCCCTGATGGCCCCAAGGCCTTCTGTTTTCTGCTTTTAAACAAACCCCTTGCCCTGGTCCCCAGCAGCGTGGCTCACGAGACTAAACTGTTTAGGTTGGGCCCCCCGCCGGGATAAACTCTACTTCCTGTGGCTCAGAATTGACCATCTGGCCTGACCTGGGCCAGGCTGCAGGGAGGAGGTGGGGGGAGGGGCAGCGAGCTTTGGGCTGGGGCTGGGCCGGGTCCTCCAAGGCCTTGGTGCTTGGGGCCTCTGAATGCCCCTGGGCCCAGTTTTGGCGAGGTGACAAGGGCACACGGGATGCACTCTAGCCGTTGGGCTCCCCCACACCTGTCAGAGGCCTCCCCCGCCCCCCCAGCCCCTGGGAGTCTCCCCTCGCTGCTCTGGCCACCGGGCGCCCCGGCCAGCAGTCAGGCCCTGACGCCTCTGCGCATCTTCTGTGTTTCCACGCTCTGCCTCTTTCCCGGCAGTGGCTTTCCAGTCCCTGCCTGTCCTGGAACTGGTCCATGCATAGCCTGTTTTCACGCTCCCTGTTCCCGCTGTGTGGACGGCCACGCTTATTTACCCAGTTGGGGGCTCGAGTAGACACGCCTGGCCCGGCCGCGCCAGCCCGTGCTGCGGCATTAATCGTTACTGGTTTTCCACATGGGGTCTCTGCTCAGAGGGTGGACACGCCTAGGAGAGTGCAGACCCAGGGGTGCCGGGCCCTGAAGGTGGGGGGGACCAGGAGGTCAGGGAGCTAGCCCGGACGCCTGCTGTAGGAGGGGCTTCCTGCCTCCACCCAGCCACAGCCTGGGACCCTGGCCCGTCCGGGGAATGTCTCAGGCATCAGCATGGGGCCTTGCTTCCTGCGGGGCCAGGGCTGAGTCACACAGTGCAGGTGATTCACACCGCCCAGCCCAGCGGGGGGGGGGGGGGGGGGGGGTTCCCCCCCCCCCCAGGACAGGGGCTTGTCTTCCCAGCTCCGAGATGANGGGGGGGGGGGGGGGGGGGTTGGTTTCCCCCCACACCCAGGACAGGGGCTTGTCTTCCCAGCTCCGAGATGAGCCAGGGCAGAGGTGGGCCGTGCTGGGCGCCTAGTGATGTGGGCGCCTAAACCCAAGAGGTGGCTGACCAGCTGTCACTCTCTGCCCCCCTCCTATCCCTGGGGGCGTCAGGGGTCCCCGGTGGGGTCTAGAGCACCTCCCTGTGTTGTCCGGACTGGACCTCAGCCCTGGCCCCTGCACCTTCCCCTCCCCCACCACTGCCTTGGCACCGGGTGTGTGTTGGGCACTGAGTGCCCTGTGCAGCCTCCCTGCCACCTCCAGGGACAGCTGGGGTCTTCCCGTTCGGGGCTTTCAGGGGCACATGGTGCCCTGACCCACACCTTTGCCGCGTTGGTGCCGACTGTGCCGTGTCCAGGGAGGGGACTCACAGCCACTGAGGTCTCCGGGCCTCTTGCCCTGCCCCCCCACCCCCACCCCCCGGGCGGTGGTCAACTGCGGTGCTCACTCACGCCCTCCGGGTCAGGCTGGGGTGGGGCCAGGGGCTGCGGGGCCAGGGGGCAGGTCTGGCTGCGGCCTTGGAGACATGCCTGCCCCAGAATAGCCAGATTTTTAAAAATAACTCAGAGGCTTTTGTTTGGCTTTTGCTTTAAAAGACATTTTTTCCTTTTGCACAGAACTTTGCAGCAGCGGGAAAGGTCAGCCCTAGTTGGCAGGGAGCTGGGCCGGCGGGCGGGCGGGCTGGGGGAGGGCTGTGTCCAGGGAGGCCAGGGCTCTGCTTCTGCCCCCAGGTCGTGTCCAGGGCAGTTGTGCGGCCCCGGCAGCCGGAAGTAGTTGGGGACAGACGGGGAAGGCCGGGTGCACGGCTCCGTCCCCTCCAGCCTGGGGCCGTGGACACAGCTGTCGGGGCCCCAGTGGGACAGGCTGGTGAGCAGGCGGCGGATGGGTGGAGGCAGGGGTCTCGCACGAGTCCAGGGGGCTGCACGCCCTTGTCCCGCCTGCTCCGTGCATTCGAATCAATATTTGTGCAAGTGCCCTCAGCTGGGAAAAATGCGACCGTCGGCCGACCTGGGGGAGGGACCTGGGGGAGGGACGGAGCGGCCAGCGAAGGGCGCAGCCTGGTGACCTCGCTCAGGGAAAGGCGGGGGTGGGTCCCAGGGGGCTTGGCGGGAACCTTTCGTTTCCTTGGGGCCTCCGCTGGGGGACAAGCTGCTGCTCCCCCTCAAGAGCAGCCTGTGGGCATCTTACACCCCCCCATCCCCCCACCACATGTCCTGCTGTAGGGGCTCCCTGGAGTGCCCGAGGGCTGGCCAAGGTGCCAGGCTGGCGTAGGGCCCCAGCCTCTGTGCCCCAGAGACTCCGGTCCCTTCCCCATGGGCAGCGCCAAAGGGACGATGACCTCAGAGCCTGGCCGTGGGTGAGCCCTGTGTCCCCCCACCCTGGGGAATGGCGGCTCTTGGCTGGCATCGGGCCTGTCTCTGAAAACTCCAGGGCTTCTGGGAACGACAGGACTCGGGACTGGCGTGTCCCCGGGGCTGGGACTTTACCCTCTCCCTCCCCCCACTCTTAGCAGCCTGTGCCCACCTTCCCTCACGGGACCACCGCAGCAGCCTCAGGTTGATGGGGGGTCGACTCTGGGCCTTGGGCGGCCCTGATGGGGCCCCTGCCTCGCCCTGTGGGACCCCAGTGCTCTGGTCCGGGACAGTGATCTGGGACAGCAGGCACTGACAGGGCCCTGCCTGGTGGGTGACGCCACTGCTGAGGTTGGTGCACAGTCCACTGCCTCCCTGGGGGGCCCTGAGTACTCCCCACGTGGCCGGTCTGCTTGCTCTGTCTGCCCTTATGTGGGACCTCCCGCCCCCGGAGTGCCCAGGCCTCCCCGTGCAGATTAGGGGGTGTCCGAGCCCCACTGCCTGCCCTGCCTGTGCCTCCTTGGAGCCCACACATGCCCTGCACGGAGCCTGGACAGCGGCCCTGCCTGCTTCGTTGTTCCTGAGCTGCAGGGCAGAGGGCTGGGGGAGGGGAGGCGCTCACTGGCCCTCAGAGCTCTGAGGCCTGGAAAACACTGTCCCTTCCCCCACCCCGTCGGCAAGTAGGGTGGCTGGGGCGGGGGCAGGGACACCACCCCTGGAAGCATGTGTGCAGGGAGGCGTAGCAGACCCGCACCGCTGGCGTGAGAGCGGGCGTGCTCGGCCACCCCCCCCCCCCCCCGGGAGGTCTCGGTGGCCCAGCCTCATCACCGAGGCCACAGGCTGGGCAGCTGCTGGAGCCCACTGGCTGCTCTCAGTGAGCTAGAGCCCTTTCCTGGGAACCACGGCCCAGGGTTGGGGGCTCTGAGTGCTGACGTGGGGACTCCCTGTCGGGTGCTGCACCCCAAGGAGCTGGCAGCAAAAGTCCAGCTCCGCAGCCCAGAAGGACCCACCAGCCCCTGTGGGACGGCTGCCTCTGGAAGGGGCCCCTTCATCACCCCGCCCCACGTGTCTGCATAACGGGGGCTTCTGAGCAGCATGGGTGGGCTGCAGTCAGGAGGGCTTCTCCGAGGAGGTGACCAGCCTGCCCTGTGGGGGCTAGATGGGGCTGGGGGGGGGTCAAGGCTAAGCCATGCTTGGCTGCAGGGCCAAGGGAGCAGTAGACAGAGGAGGGACCCCACCAAGCCCCCAGGGGCACGAGGCATCAGGGACGTGCAGGGATGCAGTTCTCTGGGCAGGAAGAGGGGAGAGACAGACATGAGTACCTCCCTGGGGGTGAGGCTGTGAGGGGGGCGGGGCGGGACAGGCGCCTGCCGCGCCTGCTGGTGCTTGAGGGATTGGAGGCGCCTCTGGGGGAGGGGCTTTGCCCTCCCGCGTCCCGGCGCCACCCTGACCTGCCCGGGGCCTGTGAAGCTCTGGCTCGTGGGCTGGCGAGGGCTCCCTGGCCCAGCTCTGCAGGGGCTTTTCTTCCAGGCCGTCTACCCCACTGGGGCCTCCCGATGAGGGCAGGGGCCTCAGTGGCCGTGGGCCGGTCCGTGGGAGAGGGAGCGGGTCCTGAGGCCGCTCTGAGAATGCCGCGGGGGGTGACCGGGATGGGGCTGGGAGAGGGGCCCCGGGCCAGGAGCTGCTGACTGAGGAGGCCAGGCTCCTTTGGGAGCTGGGGCTACCGTCTGGCCACCTGCCCAGGCCGGCCACCAGAGCCTCGGGGACGGTGGAATGAGCTCGTCTTGGCCGGCCGGCCTCACTGCCGGGCACTGTGGACAGTCTGCCCCGTGCCGCCTCCCCCAGCCCCCAGGCCCGCTGCCGCCGCAGCGCCTGAGGGACCCGTGTGCCTCTGGGCAGAGACGGGGGAGGCACCCCCCGGCCCAGGAGGGGGGATAGTCAGACATGGTGGGTTCCCGCCCTTCGTCTCCGTGTCCCCCGACGTGAGCCTCCGCAGCCACAGCCTGACGCAAGGGGCCGCACGCCGAGCGGGCCGGCATCCATCCAGTGTGGGGAAAGAGAGTCCCACTCACGGCTGCGGTGGCCGTCCGAGCGGGGTGCCGGGCCCGGAGCCCAGGGGAAGCGGCCTGGGGCGTCAGCACCTCACCACCTGCAGGTTTTCCACGTGGCCTATGTGCTCATCAAGTTCGCCAACTCCCCGAGACCGGACCTCTGGGTGCTGGAGCGGTCCACGGACTTTGGCCGCACCTACCAGCCGTGGCAGTTCTTCGCCTGTGAGTCTCCCGGGAGGGTGGGTGCTGGGCGGGGCGGCCCCTGGGGTGGGCAGCCGTCCTTGCGTGCGCTCGGGCCCTGAGCGCCTGGCCTGCCCTCACGCCCTGCTTCCGCGCCTCAGGGCCGTCGGGGTGAGGTCCCAGATGAGGGGGCCTGTTGAGCAGCTCCCGTCCCTGCTGCGGGGCCTGGCTGGGCCCAGGGGCTTGTGGTGCCAGGGTCTCTCGTGCCACATCTTGGCTTTCACTAGACTGGTTTCGTGGCTCAACAGCTCCAGACGTGACAAGGGGAGCCAGTCAGGGGCCCTGGCGGCTCCCTGGCGCACCTGTCCGCTGCCACCATGACCGATCACGTTAATGGGGACGCTCTGCTGGGTGGGCCTGGGTCACGGGCCCCTCAGAACTCCAGGGGCAAGAGTGCAGGGTGGGGCAGTTCTCTGCAGGGCATTTGAGAACGGTCCCCCAAGGATGGGTGAGGAGGGCCATTCGGGGGTGGGGGGACGCTTGTTTCCTGCAGAGAGGCCGGTGTGGGAAAGGCCACGCCTCCTGGGGAAGTTCCTCTCTCAGCAGGTGCCTCGCTCTTTCTTCCATGAAACGCTGTGGGCTGGCGGGGTGGCTTGTCGAGGCGCCGCGGTGTTGGGGAGCATCCCTGGGCCCGCCCTCACCTTCCCGCCCGCCTCCCACAGCCTCCAAGAGGGACTGCTTTGAGCGGTTCGGGCCGCAGACGCTGGAGCGCATCACGCAGGACGACCACGTCATCTGCTCCACCGAGTACTCTCGGATCGTGCCCCTGGAGAACGGCGAGGTGGGCCCCGGGGCAGCACGGTGGCCGGCCCCTGCTAGTCTGATGGTGGCGGCCCACACCCTGGCCTGACCCTTTGCCGTGTGTGCAGATCGTGGTTTCCTTGGTGAATGGGCGCCCGGGGGCCAGGAACTTCTCCTACTCGCCCCTGCTGCGCGACTTCACCAAAGCTACCAACATCCGCCTGCGCTTCCTGCGCACGAACACGCTGCTGGGCCACCTCATGGGCAAGGCGCTGCGGGACCCCACCGTCACCCGCCGGGTGAGCATCGGCCACTGGGCCGCCGGGGCCGGAGGTGGGGGGGGCCTGGCAGGGCGGGGCTGGTGCGGCGGGCCGCGGCACTCACCGCCCATGGGTGCAGTACTATTACAGCATCAAGGACATCAGCATTGGTGGCCGCTGCGTCTGCCACGGCCACGCGGACGTCTGTGATGCCCAGGACCCCATGGACCCCTTCAGGTGAGGCCTCGCTCCCTGCCGTCCCTGTCCCCTCCCAGCTCCGTGTCCCTGGATGACCTGCTGTCCCACGGCCTCGGCTTGCTCACACATGCAGCGAAGGGAGAGGGACACTGGGGTGCGGCTCCCTGGGGTGCCCTGTGCCTGGCTCGGACCCGTCTGCCCAGTGGCCGGCAGCAAGGGGGTTCTGGTCCCGACCTCCGGGCCGGGTGCTTCTGCCCCAGCAGGGGAGTCGGGCGGGCCTTGGGCCTGAGCCTGCGCTCCCTGTTCTCCAGGCCCCTCCCTTCCCTCAGGGCACGAGCATCACTCTCTGCTGTCCCCACGCCTGACCTCGGCCCCTGCCACAGGCCCAGGCCCAGGCGCGCCTGTTCTGGGGAGACTGGGAACGTGCGGACCTGTCCCCAGTGTGGGGGTCCCTGCAGGGTCAGGCAGGTGTGGGGCGGGCAGAGGCGCCGAGGGATGTAGCAGAGCCTCCACGGACCCCCGCCCGCCGTGGGGAGCTGGCGGGCCGCCCCGGCTGCTGCCCTTGCCTTGAAATCCCGCAGCCCCCCCACCTCAGGCATTGGGGTTGGGGCCTGCGCTGTGCCTTCTGCAGGTCATTGTCCACACTCCCATTTTTGGGGGGAGGCAAACGAAGCCCGGAAGGCGGGGAGGCTCAACCCCGTTCGCAGTCTGAGCCTCGCTGAGAGGCGAGCCCCCCAGGCCTCTTCGGATACGGCTGATGGGTCTGAGGGAAGCAGGGGTACGTTCACCTGGCAGAGGACGCACGCTGGCCGCCCCTCCTGCTGCGCCTCCCGCTGCGGCCCTGCGGCCTCGGCTTGGGCTCTTGCCGGCAGCGCTGGGTGCTGAGCTCAGGCCCCACTTGTTGCCCTGGGAAGTCAGGTGCCAAGTGGGAACGCGAGCCAGCTGGCAGCGGGGCCTGCTAGGCGCCAGACTGGCCTCGGAGGAGAGGCGGGCCTGCCTTTGCCTGCCGGGAGGGCGTCGGTACCCACTGACTCACCTGCAGGCGGGTGTGGATGGGGCTCAGCTCACGCTGGGGGGCAGAGGGGAGGTACCCGCTGGGCGTCTGCCCCAGCACCACAGGCCCCGACACCCCCCACACCGCCATCCCAGAGCTCCCGCCTGCCCTGCTCTCCACCCCTGCCCGCCTCTCTCACCCCTGCCCCCTCCAGGGTGGGCTCTGCCCCTTATAGTCTCCACCCCCCTCCCTGGCTTCTCTGCCTCCTCCCCCACCTCGGCCTGTACCACCCACACCTCCTCCTCCTCTTCCTCCTCCTCCCCCACCCGGAGCACCCGCTCCTCCTCCCCCACCCGGAGCACCGCCTCCCCCGCCCCCGTCACCACCACTACCTGCCTGGCCCTGCACGGAGCCCGTCATTCACTCTCTTGCTTTCCTTTGATTTGGAAGTTACGTGTTTTGTTTCTGTCGCCATGTTAATCATCTGGGCTAACTGTGACAAGACACCATCGTCGGGTGCTTATCAACAACAGAAACACACTTCTCGCTGTTCTGGAGGCCACGACAGCCCACTTCTCGGCTCTTGGTGTGTCCTCACGTGGCAGAGGGGCAACGGAGCTCCTAGGGTCCTTTCACGATGACACTAACCCCACTGATGGGGGCTCCACCCTCAAGACCTAATCACCTCCGAAGGCCCCCCTCCCAACACTGTCACCTTGGCAGCTAGGTTCTGTGTGTGTGTGTGTGTGTGTGTGTGTGTGTGTGTTTATGTGTGTGTCCGTGTCCGTCCGTGTCCCTGTCCCCATTTGTCCTGGGGGGACGCACGTGTTCAGCTCATGGCCATGCTGTTTACTGTAGCGGTGAGACCCTTGCTTTGCGTCGGGCGTACGTTATCAGATCTAAGTGTAACCAGCTGCTCTGTGGCCCTGATGACACAGCGCCTGAGAGCTCTGCCCCTGTGCGTGCTGCTTCCGTCCAGCAGGGATCTGTGGTCTGTGATGGCGGCTGCTGTCCGTGGTTTTACCCTTACTCTAGGCGGGTGGCTCTGCCCACTAGAATTCTGGTTGATGGCTGTGTCTCTCTCATCTCAGAGAAAGCATTTCACTGTCACTTGGCGTCCTCGATGGGTAGGAGAGTGGCTGTCATCTGCACTGTTGCCCCTCTGGCTTGTCTGCCCCTTCTGGATGGTTCTGTGGTCTTTGCAGAATATCTCTGTGGCATCAGGGAGTGGACATGTCTTCTGTTGCTCAAACTCATGCTTTTTGAAACCGAGAGCGTGTTTTTGTTGATTCAAGATCATTCCTGGTCATCAGCTTTTTTTTTTTTTTTTAATGTTTGTTTATTTTTGAAAGAGAAACACAGCATGAGTAGGGGGGGTGGAGAGAGGGGGAAGGGCAGAGAGAGAGAGGGAGACACAGAATCTGAAGCAGCTCCAGGCTCTGAGGTGTCAGCACAGAGCCCGATGCAGGGCTCGAACCCACAAACTGCGAGATCATGACATGAGCTGAAGTCGGACGCTTAACCGACTGAGCCACCCAGGCGCCCTCTGGCCATCAGCTCTGACCGTCACCTTGCCCCCTTACACCTCTTTTCTTTCTCCAGAATCCCGTTACGCAGACGGGAACTCCCTATGGTTTCCTTCTGCCTCCAAACGTCAGGTGTCCTTCCCTCTCTATCTTCTGAGCTGCCTTTAGGTGGTTAGTTCCGGTCAGGGTCACCTGTCTGTCGTCTGGAATTTCGGTGATTTTATTTTTCATTTATAGAAGTTCCGATTGGCTCTTTGGCCACACCTGCCTATTTTTTATAGTGTTGCATTTTTTGTTCTTGGTTCCTTTGGTTATAACTTTAAACATTCCCATTTTTGGTTTCTCCTTATTTGCCCCCAAGTTGCTGGGGTCGCATCCTGATGATACGCTGTGGTCGCTGCCATGTTGTGTCCCTGCCGGGCCCTGGACTGGGAATTGTCACTCCAGAGTGGTTGAATGAGGGCCTTTGCCAAACACCCCAAACACCCCAGGGTATCGCCAGCCCAGCACCGCTTTTTATGTTATTTTTTGGTGCCCTGACCATGTAGACTGTGGAAGAACCAACACCAGCTGCGGGCCCCACATTACAGACCCTCAGAGCTGGGGTGAAGACAGGCTGGCTCCCTGGGGCTTTCACTCTACGGCAGGCTTCCTCCTCCATGGAGGCCTCCCAGATGTCCCTCGGCCCTGAGGCCCTGCGGACATTCTGGGGGGTGGGGCTAGAGCTGTGTAACCTGAGGCCTGGGTCTCCGTGGACCGGCTTCTGAGGTCCTGCTCAGGACGCACACGGCACCCGCCCCTGCCTTGGCTGAATGATGGAGGTGTGTGTCGGGTGGGGCTGGGGCACGTGTGCCACGCAGCCTCAGTCCTCAGCCGTGGCCAGCTGTCCCGCCCGCTGAGCCAACAGGAGCTGCTCCAGCACAGCAGGGGGCACTCCAGCCGGAGGACCAGCCCCTCCCCCCACAAGAGGAAGCAGTTCCTGGCCTCTTGCCCCTGGGGCAGCGCCCTGGATGCCTGGGGGCGGCTGGCTGAGCTCCTACTGCTGAGTGAGACCTGGGCCTTGGAGCCGGCCCAGGGACGGACGCTGTGCGCTTGGCCTTAGGGCACGGCCACAGGGAGGAGGGCTTACCTCCATCCTGAAGGACGCAGGGCCCCGGGCTGACCTGCAGGCAGGGGCCACCTACACTGGCCACCGAGGGCCCTGTCCCAGCCCCCGACTGACACACGTCCCGTGCCCTTCTCCCACCCTCCGTGGAGGCTGCGCACAGCCCCGCCGTCTGTCTCCTGGTGTCCCTCTGGGTCCACGGCGAGGCCCTCCTGTCCCCTGTGTCCCCCTGGGTCCACGATGGAGCCGTCCTGTCCCGTGTCCCCCACAGGCTCCAGTGCACCTGTCAGCACAACACGTGTGGGGGCTCCTGCGACCGCTGCTGCCCCGGCTTCAACCAGCGGCCGTGGAAGCCGGCAACCACTGACAACGCCAACGAGTGCCAGTGTGAGTGTCCCACACATGCGCACGTGCGCACACGCCTTTGCTGCCGGTGTGCTCCAGCCACGTGGCGTGCCGCACCCAGGGGTCACCTGTGGTCTGTGAGGCGTGCCCTGGGGGTCCGGAGAGACGGGGCACGGAGGGCCCATGAACAGCCGCACCCCTTCTCTCCAGCCTGCAACTGCCACGGCCACGCCCACGACTGCTTCTACGACCCTGAGGTGGACCGGCGCAACGCCAGCCAGAACCTTGACGGCGCGTACCAGGGCGGGGGCGTGTGCATCGACTGCCAGGTGGGACGGGGCTGCCCGTGGCCGGGATGGGGGCGTGTTGGGAACTAGGGTGCGTGCGAGGCACCGGGGCAGGGGGGTTGTGGGCGCGGCCCCATGCGGTCTGTCACCCAGGGCTGGGCGGGCGGTGGGAGCATCCCTGGGCTCAGTGGCCCCGTACCCACCTCCCCAGCATCACACCACCGGCATCAACTGTGAACGCTGTCTGCCCGGCTTCTTCCGTGCCCCGGACCAGCCCCTCGACTCTCCCCACGCTTGCCGCCGTGAGTGGGGTTGGCCCGGGTGAGGCCTTCCGGGGATGGGGCGTCCGGGCTGTCCAGCTCCCTGCTCCCCTGGGGTCCCTGCACGGCTGCGGGGGGCCCGGCCGGGCTCTCACCCGGCTGCCCCGGAGCCAGTCCGACAGCCCCAGGCTTGGTGTGTCACGACTCCTCGGCCCCCGTCCAGGCTGCAGCTGTGAGTCGGACTTCACGGATGGGACGTGCGAGGACCTGACCGGCCGCTGCTACTGCAAACCCAACTTCACGGGGGAGCGCTGCGGCGCGTGCGCTGAGGGCTTTGCTGGCTTCCCGCACTGCTACCGTGAGGGCGTCTGCCTGGGGCGGTGGCGGGGAAACTGGGGCGCGGGTCCCCAGAGCCCTGGGGGGGTGACCCAGGGTGGGGACCCACAGTGGAGCGTCTGGTCCTGCCTGCGTGTCCGGTGATGCTGAGCCGACCTGGCTGACGTGGTGTGTCCCCCCCCCCAGCGGTGTCCCCCCCCTCCAACCACACCGGGGAGCAGGTGCTGCCGGCCGGACAGATCGTGAGTAAGTGTCACCCACTAGAGGCGGGGAGCCCCACGCAGAACCCCATGGAGAGGGGGGTTTTCACTGTACTCACCTGATTTTTGGTTCTTGTGGGTTTTGTTTTTTTTTTTAAGTTTCTTTTGAGAGAGTGGAGCAGGGGAGGGACAGAGAGAGAGAGAGAGAGGATCCCAGGCAGGCTCCACGCGGTCAGTGCTCAGAGCCCGAATCGGGGTTCGATCCCACAAACCGTGAGATTGTGACCTGAGCTGAAATCAAGAGCCAGACACTTCACTGACGGAGCCGCCCAGGCGCCCTTCGATTCTTGTATTTTTATACAAATAATGCATATTCATGCTAGAAAAACCCTTCAGGAGTGTAGTAACATAAAGCAGAAGAAAAAGGTGCCCAAGATGGTGCCATTGACATAATCCCTCCTCCTACGGCCAGGCGCCCCCGCCGTGGCCCTGCACACGTGTCCTTCATGTTCCGTGCTGTCCCAACAGATGTAGCATTTACTTAGCTCCCAATTGTTAGAAATTTAGGTTCTTTCCAATTTGAAAAAATGCTACGATAAACATCCTTGTAGCTAAAACTTTCCATAAATCCTCAATCGCTCCTGTGGAATAATTTCCTAGAAGGTTCTGAGTCACTGGACGTGCGTGTTTGGGGGCAGTTTTGGCTGCAGGTTGCCAAACCACTCTCGGGAACGAAATAGTGTACAGTGTGGTCACGTTAGCGGCCTCAGCGGATGCTGGGGGTCGTCACCACGACGACGCGAGCTGCTCGTGACTGTCAGCCCGGCTGGCGGGACGCTCACCGGTCAGAGATGTCTCCTCCTCGTGTTTCTGGAATCGGGTGCGTTTCAGCGGAGGGTGCGCCCCAGTCTGATGGGCAGGCGTCAAACATGGCCGGCGGGGCTGAGCCGTCTGCACACTCCCCGCGCAGGCGCCGTGTGCCTCCAGCAGCAGGGTCCCCTGCCCCGTGTCTTGGGGACTCTTCTCTCCTGTGCTGGCGTTTTTAACCCTTCAGTGGTTCGGTGGACGTTGCTATGGAGGTGGCTCTTATCTCTGATAAGAGACGCTGTGGAGGTGGCGCGCCCTAAACTCACCTGTTCTTGTGTCTCTTGGTCTTTGACAGTTTCTTCTTTACGTCTAAATGTCTCTTTTTCATAAGTGGTGTAAGCAGCGGTCAACAGACTTCTTCTGGAAAGGGCCAGACAGTGCCCGCCTTCAACTTTGAGGGCCAGGTGTCCTGTCTTGGCTCGTGGCCCCGCTGTCGTGGGCCACAGCGGACGTGAATAGGCCTGGCCGTGCTCCACGAAGACTTTACTTGCACGCAGGCAGGGGAGCCCTCGGAGCGCAGCGCGGAGCCCCGGCATGGCTCCTGAAAGCCCTCTGGTCCCGCACCAGGGGTTGGTGCTGTGCCGCGGCCATGCTGGTGGGGTGTCCCGTGCTGTCTGCTCCTCGTCCAAGGAATTCTACACTGTCTTTCCTAACAAGGACCTTCGTGTCTGTAATTTGTCAGGGAGACTGGTTGAAGATTTTCTTGGTGGTTTTCTTTGATGTGCGTGCCCTCGTGTTCTCATTTTGTAATTCACTTTGTAAAATATTTGGAAAATGCCAAAATGCCCCTTGCTTGGTTCTATAGTGGTTTAAAAATCACTGGAATTACCCATTTCTTTTTTTTTTTTTTTTAACATTTATTTATTTTTGAGAGACAGAGACAGAGCACGAGTGGGGGAGGGTTAGAGAGAGGGAGACACAGAATCTGAAGCAGCTCCAAGCTCCCAGCTGTCAGCACAGAGCCCGACGCGGGGCTCGAACCCACAGACTGTGAGATCATGACCTGAGCCCAAGTCGGACACTCAACCGACTGAGCCCCCCAGGCGTCCCGGAATTACCCATTTCTTAAAAGTTTGATAGAACTTCTGAGACCACCTGGCCTGACATCTGTTGTTAATGGAAGTCTTCGACTCTGGCTTTCATTTCTTCTGTGGTTATTTTATCTGTTGATTTCCTACCTCAGCATAAGTCTGTTTTGGTCATTTTCATTTCTTAGCAAATTGCTTATGTTCTTTGGATTTTTTTTTAATTAAAGAGTTTTTAAGTTTATTTTTTTTTTGAGAGTGAGCAAGAGAGAGAGAATCCCAAGCAGATTCTGTACTGTCAGTACAGATCTGAGCCAAAATCGAGTCAGATGCTTAACTGACTGGGCCACCCAGGTGCCCCTGGATTTTAAAATGTAGCGGTATAAAGCCGCACACAGCGGTCATGATTTTTTACCTTCCCTTTCGTTCCTCTTATTGTCTGTTTTAATTTTCTCTCTTTTCCTTTCTTCCTTTATTAGACCTAGTGGAAGTTTGCTGAATTTATTGGTGTTTCCAAAATACACCTTAAGATTCTGTCTATAAGATCTGCTGGAGTTTTTCTCTTCATAGTTTGGGGGAGAGATTTTGTTTCCTACTATAGAAAACTTTGAACTAAAATCTTTAATTCCTTCTACTGTCTTCTTTTTTGAAACATTGAAGTGTAGTCGATATTCAGCATCAGATGAGTTTCAGGTGGACAGCATCTTGGTTTGATATTTGTCCGTATTGCAAAATGACTCCCGCAGTAAGTCAGCTTAGCGTCTGTCGCCACAATTACAGAATTAGTTTTTCCTTGTGATGAGACCTTTGGAGATCTTTTAGCAAATTTCCACTGTGCCATCCAGCACGGCTGCTACGGCCACCATCTGGACATCACTGCCCCACACCGCTCTCATTTTGCCCCTGGAAGCTGGCACCTTTTGACACCTTCACACCTTTCTCCAACCCCCTGCCCGTCAGCCACCAACGTATCCGAGAGCTTGGTTTTTGTTTCTGTTCTAGATTCCACATATGCGTGAGATCTCGTGGTATTTTTTTTTTTTTTATTTTTTTTTTTTAACTTTCTTTTGTTTCGTTACCGTTTGTATCGCTTCTTGAATTTATCATTTTTGTTCTGTCTTAATTGCTGACAACAAGGTGTAAAGCATTGGTTCTCAACCAGGGGAGGTTAAGCCCCAGGGGCGCATCTAGGGTTTCTCTTGTTCGGGCTGCGCGGCGTTGGTGGCGCTTGGTTTTTCTTCAGGAGCCAAACCGAGCCTCCTGGTTTTATCTGGTAAATGGAGACGCGGCCCGGGCGGGACACGCCGTCAGGCGGGGCTCCGGCTCTTGCTGTGTCTTCCCTCCGTCGCTGGGGCTTTCCCTTCATGCCTTTGGCCGGATTGGGGAGCAGAGTGTGATTTGGTTTGGGAAGGTTTATGTTTCCTTCAGGGGGGGGGGGTACAAGTTCCATTTCTGTCTTCTCATCTGGCCCAGGTCACCCTTACCTTTCTGACAAACATCAAACCGCTATTTTCCATAATCAAAAATTACGTAGTATTTAAAACCTCTTCTCAGGCACAAATTAAGACCTTCAGCACACTTTTGTTCCTTTTCTCTGACCCACGGAGTAATCTATAAAGATTACAATGATCTTTATTAGGATTTTGTTTGTACGTTTTCTCTGGTTGCGTCGGCGCCTACAGGTGGCTTAGCAGCTGTGTTACCGACAGCCATTTGCCTGTCCTTACAGCCGTCCTGATCTCCTTGCTCACAGTTTTCCAGAAACATGGGCTTTGCCTTCTTGGGATTTTTGTCCCTTCGTTCTGTATGGATGCAGCGTGAAGCGTGAGGAGAGAAGTTTGCAGAGAGCAGAGGTTTTCCGGCGGGGAGGGCTGGGATCTGCGAGGCACCTGAGACCCCCGCCCTCCCCCCACCCCCCAGACTGTGACTGCAGCGCCGCCGGGACACAGGGCAACGCCTGCCGGAAGGACCCGCGGGTGGGACGCTGCGTGTGCAAACCCGCCTTCCAGGGTGTCCACTGCGAGCTCTGCGCCCCTGGGTTCTATGGCCCGAGCTGCCAGCGTGAGTGCGGCCCCGTGTCTGTCCCCGTGGGGGCCCCGGGAGCCTGTGCCCTCTCACACTGAGCGTGGCCACCCCTCCCCGCAGCGTGCCAGTGTTCCAGCCCCGGAGTGGTGGACGGGGCCTGCGACCCTGACTCAGGCCAGTGCACGTGCCGGGAGGGCTTCGAGGGGGCCGCCTGTGACCACTGCGCCCCAGGATACTTCCACTTTCCTCTCTGCCAGTGTGAGCGAGGCCGCCCCAGTGGGCACGGGTGGGCGTGGGGCCCGGGGTGTGGCCTGCCTGGCTCAGGGGGCCCCCGTGTGCGCCTTCCCTCTACAGTGTGCGGCTGCAGCCCTGTGGGGACCCTGCCCGAGGGCTGCGACGAGGCGGGCCGCTGCCCGTGCCGGCCGGAGTTCGATGGCCCTCACTGTGACCGATGCCGCCCGGGCCACCATGGTTATCCCGATTGCCATGGTGAGCAGAGGGCCAGGGCGGGGCTGGGTGGAGTGGGAGGGCCCCCCCCAGGCGCCCAGGGCCTGACCCCGTGACTCCTGCAGCCTGCACCTGCGACCCCCGGGGTGCCCTGGACCAGCTCTGCGGGGCAGGGGGTGTGTGCCGCTGCCGCCCCGGCTATGCGGGCCCTACCTGCCAGGAGTGCAGCCCCGCCTTCTACGGCTTCCCCGAGTGTGCCCGTGAGTGTCCTCGAGGGGCGGCGGTGGGGGGAGGGGGGTGCGTCCCTCCCGCCTGCCCACACCCCGCCTTCCCCACCTAGCCTGCCGATGCTCCGCCGAGGGCTCCCTGCACGCAGCCTGTGACCCCCGCAGCGGCCAGTGCAGCTGCCGGCCCCGTGTGACCGGGCTGCGATGTGACGCCTGTGTGCCCGGCGCCTACAACTTCCCCGTCTGTGAAGGTGAGGCTGGTGCAGTGTGCGTGGTCTGTGTGCCCACCCCTTCGTTCCTGTGTGCCCACACCTGTCCACGCACTGACCGGTCACGCGCTGTGCTCACGTGGGGCACATGTGCCACGTGTGTGTGCTTGTGGGCCTTGTAAGCGTGCACACGTTTTCACGTGTTCTCGGAAGTGTGTGTTCCCCTGCTGTGTTCAGACATGTTTGCGTGTTCTCTGGTGGGGGAGGGCACAGCGCACGCCCTTGTGGCCGAGGGGACCAGAGCACACGTTTGCACACCTGTTCACACAAGTGGGAGGCACGTGTGCTGGCCGGGCCTCGGGAAGCCCTTGGCCCTGAGCCAGTGACTGAGCAGTGACCGTCGCCCGGATCTCTCTACAGCTGGCTCCTGCCACCCCGCCGGCCTGGCCCTGGCCGACCACACCCGTCCCGAGGTGAGCCCAGGGCAGCCCTCTGTGGAGTTCAGCCCCTCCCCTCCAGGGAGACTGCCCCGTTGCGCGGTCGCCTTGGCAACCTGAGGGCCCCTGTTGCGCTGGCTGGTCCTCGGTCTGTATTCCAGGGACACATGCCCGAGATGGGGCAGGTCAGGCTCCAGGGCTGAGGGCTCTGGGTCGAAAGGCAGGGACCCTTTCCGACCCTCTGTCTCGTCTTCTCCCAGGCACAGGCCCCCTGTACATGCCGGGCTCATGTAGAGGGGCCGAGCTGTGATCGCTGTAAACCTGGGTTCTGGGGCCTGAGTCCCAGTAACCCTGAGGGCTGCACCCGTGAGTCTTGGCAGGGGTGTGGGAGTGCTGGGGAGGCTCTAGGGTGGGCGAGCGGTGTAGGGAGGGGAGTGCTAGCCCCACAGGGTCCAGGCCTGCTCTGCCTCCCGCCCTAGCCTGCAGCTGTGATCCCCGGGGCACGCTGGGTGGAGTCGTCGAGTGCCGGCCGGTGAGTCTGGGGTCGAGGTGCCCAGGGGCTGTGGGGCAGGCATGTCCCGACCCTCCCTGCTCGGTCTCACCTCGTCCCCCGGCCACAGGGAGACGGCCAGTGCCCCTGCAAGCCTCACGTGTGCGGCCGGGCCTGCGCGGCGTGCCGGGACGGCTTCTTTGGGCTTGACCAGGCGGACTACTTCGGCTGCGGCAGTAAGTGACTGCGACCCGGGGGGCGGGCCCGGTGCGGGACGATCACCGTGGCCGGCTGGGATGGCGGCGCTGACCTGCTCCCTCCTGCTGCAGGCTGCCGGTGTGACGTTGGCGGCGCGCTGGGACACGGCTGTGACCCGCGGACGGGCGCCTGCCGGTGCCGCCCCAACACCCAGGGCCTCACCTGCAGCGAGTGGGTGCCCCACGCTGGGGCTGGGGGAGGGGGCCCCAGAGGCAGCTCATCCGGCCGAGGCCCCGGGGGGCTGCCCTTGACCACCCTGTCGCGGCCAGGCCGGCGCGGGACCACTACCTCCCTGACCTGCACGACCTGCGCCTGGAGCTGGAGGAGGCGGCCACGCCCGAGGGCCGCACCGTGCGCTTCGGCTTCAACCCCCTCGAGTTCGAGAGCTTCAGCTGGAGGGGCTACGCGCAGATGTCGCCCATCCAGGTGGGCGTGGAGCTGCCCGCAGGGGGGAGGCGGGGCTGGCGGGCCCCTTGCGGGCCGGGGGCCAGGCTGGGCAGGGCCAGGGAGGGGTGACCCCGACTCTCCGTGTCCCCGCTGCCCCCAGCCCAGGATCGTGGTGAGGCTGAACGTGACCTCCCCTGACGTCTTCCGGCTTGTCTTCCGGTATGTCAACCGCGGGCCCACCAGCGTGAGTGGGCGAGTCTCTTTGCAGGAGGAGGGCAAGCTTGCCACCTGCACCAACTGTGAGTGTCTGCGGGCCGTCCCGCTGCCCGCCCTGCCCCAGCCCTGCAGCCCGCCCTGCCCCAGCCCTGCCCCAGCCCTGCCCCAGCCCTGCCCCAGCCCTGCAGCCCGCCCTGCCCCAGGCCTGCCCAGCCCTGCCCAGTCCTGCGCCAGCCCTGCAGCCCACCCTGCCCAGCCCTGCCCAGCCCTGCCCCAGCCCTGCCCCAGCCCTGCCCCAATGGCTCCTGACCCCCCTACCTCCCTCTTCTGCCCCAGCCCCACCAGGGGCCCATGTGTGGGTGAGGGGCCAGCCTGTGCCTTGGGGAATCTGCAGCCCGGGGTGGCCAGTGGGCTGAGACCAGGAGTCTCACAGTTCACGTCCGCAGGCACAGAGCAGAGCCAGCCTGTCACCTTCCCGCCCAGCACGGAGCCTGCCTTTGTCACCGTGCCCCAGAGGGGCTTTGGGGAGCCCTTTGTCCTGAACCCTGGCACCTGGGCCCTGCTCGTGGAGGCTGAGGGGGTGCTCCTGGTGAGGCGGGGGCTGAGTGGGGTGGGCCAGGGCCCGGGGCCGGGGCCCAGTACCTACATCTCCCCTGCCCACCAGGACTACGTGGTCCTGCTGCCCAGCACCTACTACGAGGCGGCCCTCCTGCAGCTGCAGGTGACCGAGGCCTGCACGTTCCGGCCCGCCGAGCAGCGCTCCAAGGAGAAGTGAGGGCCGGCCTGGCAGGGGTGGGGGCCTGACCCCTACTGTGCTCCCCGCGGGTCCCTGCTAACTACGTTCTGTGTCCCCCGCCCTCCCCCAACCCAGCTGCCTCCTCTACACGCACCTGCCCCTGGATGGCTTCCCCTCAGTCGCGGGAACCGAGGCCCTGTGTCGCCGTGACAACAGCCTGCCCTGGCCTTGCCCCACGGAGCAGCTCAACCCCTTGTACCCGCCCCTGGCCGCCTGCCTGGGCAGCGACGTGCGTGTCCCTGGAACCCCACAGAGGGGCAGGCAGGGTCACAACCTGGGGAAGGCGTGCCTTGGCCTGGAGGTTGGGGGTGGGAGGGGCCGTGCCACAGTGATGGGACACAGGTGCAGGCAAGGCCGCAGGTTTGATGTTGGGGGGGGTCAGGGCAGCCTTGGGGCCTCATTTGTCAATGGGGTGTCGCTGACCCCAGCCCTCCAGCTCATCGGGAAGAGGCAACGGGTCATTTGTTCGCTCTGAAGACCCGGGCTGGGCCTCCAGGCAGCAGGCTGTCAGCAGTGCTGAGGCCGAGAGGCCTTGGGAAGGCAGGGGAGGCTTGGAGTGAGCCGAGGTTGGAAGGCCACGTGGGCATGGGGGTGTCCTGGGAGGGGTGCTCCGGGTGGCGAGGACCTGGGGGAGGAGGCTGTGGGGGCTGTGGGTGGGAAGGGCTGTGCGCAGGGGTGTCCAGGGAGCACCCGCGGTCTTGTTCTGCAGGTGGGGCCCCTGATAACTCTGTCCCCCACCCCCAGGTGGACGTCCAGCTTCAGGTGGCCGTGCCACAGCCGGGCCGCTACGTCCTGGTGGTGGAGTATGCCAACGAGGACGCCCGCCAGGAGGTGGGCGTAGGCACGCACGTCCCACAGCGGGCGCCGCAGGAGGGGACACTCACCTTGCACCCCTGCCTCTACAGGTCTGCGGGGCCAGGACAGGGTTTGGGTCTGGGGGAGCTATGTGGGAGGGCTTGGGCCCCGGGGCGGCCCCACCCGCTGATCACCCCACCCCCGTCCCTAGCGCCCTGTGCCGGGGCACCGTCCTGGACACCCAGCACCACCTGGCCGTCTTCCACCTGGACACGGAGGCCAGTGTCCGGCTCACGGCCAAGCAGGCACGCTTCTTCCTGGTAAGACCCTGACCCCTGACCCCTGACCCGCACGGGCCCCAGCTTCCCCTGTGGCGTCAGGTGTTTCAGAAGATTTCAAATAGCATAGAAGGGTGTGGTGAGCCCAGGTGCCCAGCACCCGCCCCGCGTGGTGGATGGGAGGAGACAGTAACTATGTTAACAAAAAACCGCTTTCTGGTATAATGTACCAGAACGTCCGGCGTGAGGGGTCTCTTCAGTGGGTCGTTGGCTCCTGGGCGTCCTCAGTGCTCTGAGGATGAGGTCGCTGTGACACAGGCCTGTGCACCCACCTGAGCACGAAGCACTGCGCGGTGCTGACCGCCGCGGACGCCCAGGAGCGAGCTGAGATGTGCGCCCGAGAAAGCTCAGGGCGGGTGACGTTTGCTCTCACGAGAGTGGTGCACTCAGCGTGTTAGGTTTCCCGGGGCCCTTACAACACGGATCGCTTCTGCACAGATTAGTATAAAAGCCTCACATGTCGAGAAGGACTCGCAAACGGAAAGAGAGCCCTGTGGCCGCCCGCCGCACTCGCTACGGGCGCTTTCTGGGGCTGCTGCGTTTCATGCGTGTTGACACCGCCCACGTGGCTTCCACCCGCCTGCATCGGTGCTGTCCCTCGGCCCTCGTGCCCAGGCCGGGGAGCAGCACGCACCCCACACACCCCTCGGGCCCCCGTGGCCACTCCCCAGTGCAGACGGCACCACCTCACCACTGCGTTCTGGAGCTTCTTAACCGGAAGCCCGCCGGCAGGTGTTTGTGCCACGGTGACGCAGCGTCCCCGCCTTGGCTGTGGGGTCTCCCCGGCAGCTTGGAAGCCTCTGTGTGTTGTATTTGCTGCGCAAAATACGGCCGCTGGAGCTGAGGGGGAGTCGTGGTGGAGTGGCCGCAGGGAGTGACGGGGCGGAGGGCAGAGGGGAGATAGCAGGGTGGCCCCCGAGGAGAGCTGAGAAGGACCCAGACCCCGCGGTCGAGGGCCGGCAGAACCAGGGCCCGGGTGCAGAGAGCAGGACTCGAGGCGGATGTTGGGGTTGTGGGGGGGCCCCACGTGCACGTCCGCATCCACGCCCGTACTCTGTCCACAGCACAGCGTCACCCTGGTGCCCGCGGAGACATTCAGCCTGGAGTTCGTGGAGCCCCGGGTCCGCTGCGTCAGCAGCCACGGTGCCTTCAAGCCCAGCAGGTGGTGGGGCTGGGAGGGGCCGGGGCGGCGGCGGGGGGCCCCGGACTGGCCCGCAGGGACTCACCCCCGCACCCCTCCAGTGCCACCTGCCTGCCATCCCGCTTCCCGAAGCCGCCCCAGCCCGTCGTGCTGCGGGACTGCCTGGTGCTGCCGCTGCCCCCCGGCCTGCCCCTGGCCCGCTCGCAGGACTTCACGCCTGGCGCGCTCCCACCAGGGCCCCGGCCCCGGCCCTCCACTGCCGTGGACCCCGACGTGGAGCCCACCCTGCTGCGCCACCCCCAGGTGAGGGCCCCGGCCGAGAGGACTGCGCCCCCCTCCCCGGCTCGCGCTCCTACCCCCACGCCCGCTCAGCGGAGCCTCTGCCTGCAGGCGACCGTGGTCTTCACCACCCACGTGCCCGCACTGGGCCGCTACGCCTTCCTGCTGCATGGCTACCAGCCGGCGCACCCCACCTTCACCGTGGAGGTCCTCGTCAGCGGGGGCCGAGTCTGGCAGGGTGAGTGGCTGTGGCGGGCGGTGGGGGCGGACCCCAGACGACCAGCCTGTCGGGCGTCTCCTGACACAGCCCCTGTGTGGTCGGACAGGCCTGTCCTGCTCCTTGTTCTCAAGTGAGGTGCCCAGGGTGCAGGGTGGGCGCAGCCCCAGCCTCCGGCCCCCTCCCTGGATTCTGCTCCTGATTCCCTTTGAGTTCAGGCTCAGCGTGTCACGTAGGCGGGTAACCCAGGGCTCCCTGTGGGACACCTGTCGACGGCCGTGTGTTCCTGCACGTGTGTCTGCTCTGTTTCCCTCGGCCGAGCTCAGGACCTGTGCCTACTGGGCCTCTGTGTGCGGCCACACCTGATTCACATAGCGCACGGGGGCCCGGCCAGACAGGCGTCACACGCGGCCACGCGGCCTAGTTGTGCATCACAGGTGCACACCCCTTGCTGGGCAGGGCACTGTCCGTGGGCATCTCTTCCTCCCTGAGGGCTCCAGCAGTGACCCCAGAATGAGGCCACGGGGCCACGGCTGGTCTGTGGGGTGTGTGACCCCAGAATAAGGCCACGGGGCCACGGCTGATCTGTGGGGTGTGGAGGGGTGCACCGACCTGCCTTTTCATCCCCCTCCAGGCCACGCCAACGCCAGCTTCTGCCCACACGGCTACGGCTGCCGCACCCTGGTGGTGTGTGAGGGCCAGGCCATCCTGGACGTGACCGACAGTGAGCTCACCGTGACTGTGCGCGTGCCTGAGGGCCGGTGGCTCTGGCTGGTGAGTCCTGAGGATGCCGTGTCTGTGTGCAGACGTCTTGGGGCCTGACGCGGGGCTAGCATCCTGGGTATGGATGTCCTGGACGCGCCACACCATTGGTCACTCGGGCAGGGTGTGTCTCTGTCTGCACTGGGCCAGCCGCATGCCAGGTGCCAAGGAGAGCAGACTCCAGGGACCGCCAGGCTGAGCTGCGAGGCCGGTGGAGGTGGGAGGGGTGTCCAAGAGCCAAGATGTTGCCTGCCTTCCCTCTGGAATCCTGCTGGTCAGGGCGGCCTTCCCAGAGGAGGCGGCCTAGAGGTCTGGAGAGGGAGGGCAAAGGCATGTCTGGCAGACAAGGATGGGAAGGGCACCAGGGGGCTGGGCACTTCTTTACCGCCGAGCCTCACGGCCCCAGGCTTCCATTAAGCCCCGGAAGGTGACCTCCCTTCTGAGCGGCCCACTGGGCACCCAACATGTGTCAGCCTTGCTGGGGTCCAGGGTTGGGGTGTGGTGCGGCCACTACTGTTGAGCTGCCTGGCTGGACCCTGGCCTGTCACAGAGCCCCCTGGCGACGTGCTGGTGCGGGCAGGCTCTGGTTCACTTCCCCAGCCTGGGTCCTCTCCTGGGCCCACGGGAAGGTGACCAGGCCCTGACGCTCTAGGAGTATGTGCTGCTGGTCCCCGAGGAGGCCTACAGCTCCAGCTACCTCCGAGAGGAGCCGCTGGACAAGTCCTATGACTTCATCAGCCAGTGTGCCAGCCAGGGCTACCACATCAGGTGGGCGGGGAGGCGGGCTGGGGCGGGGCTGGGGGCGGGGCTCTGGGTGGGGACTTGGCCTCACTCTGATTCTCACCCCAGCCCCACCAGCTCCTCCCAGTTCTGTCGTGATGCCGCCTCCTCTCTCTCTCTCTTCTACAACAACGGGGCTCGGCCTTGCGGCTGTCATGAAATGGGAGCCACCAGCCCCACTTGTGAGCCCTTTGGGGGCCAGTGTCCCTGCCGTGCCCATGTGATCGGCCGGGACTGCTCCCGATGTGCCACTGGCTACTGGGGCTTCCCCAACTGCAGGCGTGAGTAATCCAGCCCCCAGGGATGACGGCGATGGGACCCTAATCCTGAGGAGGCTTCCCCGTGAAAGGAAGTGTGGGTACAGTGGCCAGGAGGAAGTTCTAGAGCTCTGCCGCCCCCCCAACCCCCCTGCTGCAGGACCTCAGGCAGCCCGTGGCCTGGCTGTCAGTCCGGGGACCACACAGCAATCTGGGCAACTGACCGCATATCAGAGATGCTGCCTGGGCCTGGGGGCCTGGAGTTGGGCGAAACCAGGCCCAGGTGGGGTGGGGTGTCCTTGGGGCAGGAGCTCCAGCCTCTGATGGGGCAGAGGGTTCACCCCACCCGTGTCCCTGCTCTGCAGCCTGTGACTGCCGAGGCCCCCTGTGTGACGAGCTCACGGGCCACTGCCTCTGCCCGCCTCGCACCGTGCCACCCGCCTGCATCGTCTGCCAGCCTCAGTCCTTCGGCTGCCACCCCCTGGTTGGCTGCGAGGAGTGTAACTGTTCGGGCCCCGGCGTCCAGGAGCTCACGGACCCCACCTGTGACATGGACAGTGGCCAGTGCAAGTGAGCGGTGCAGTGGGGCTGTCACCACGGGCCGGGGTCAGTCCTGGGTCAGGGATGGCAGTGCCGCTGAGGGCGCTCTCTCCACGTCTGGGCAGGGGGAGGGTTACACCTTGGGGAGCCACTGCCTCAGGGGCCACCCGTGGTCTCAGTAAGCGTGGAGGGGAGGCCCGGCCAGCGTCTGCGCTCCCTCCGGCAGGTGCAGACCCCACGTGGCCGGGCGCCGCTGTGATACCTGTGCTCCTGGCTTCCACGGCTACCCCAGCTGTCTCCCCTGTGACTGCCATGAAGCGGGCTCCATGCCCAGCGTGTGCGACCCCATCACAGGCCAGTGCCACTGCAAGGTGAGGGGCCGGACGCCCAGCTGGGCTCCGCGGCCCGACGCCCCACCTCCTGTGTTGCTGCTGAAACTCCCCCTGGGGGCACTGGGGGAGTCACCCCCTCAGCAAGAGGGAACAGCGAGCCAGGGTGCTGGACCCCACAGCGCGTGACCGGCTGACCTGCCCTGTTCTGCCCCCAGGAGAACGTGCAGGGCCCAAGGTGTGACCAGTGCCGCCTGGGGACCTTCTCCCTGGACGCCGCCAACCCGAAAGGCTGCACCCGCTGCTTCTGCTTTGGGGCCACCGAGCGCTGTGGGAGCTCAGCCCACAGCCGCCGCGAGGTGTGCAGACACCAGGACCTGGGCCCGGGGCAGGACCACCTCCCAGAGGGGACGCGTGACCCCCAGCTGGCAGGCCCCGGTGCGGGACGGGCCCCGTGACACGTGAGGTGCTCACCCCGTGCCCCTCCCGTGTGCCCACAGCACGTGGACATGGAGGGCTGGACGCTGCTGAGCGGTGAGCGGCAGGTGGTGCCTCACGAGCGGCGGGCCGGGGCCGAGCTGCTCTACGCCAATCTGCGGCGCGGGCCCGAGGCCTTCCCGGAGCTGTACTGGCAGGCCCCGCCCTCCTACCTGGGGGACAAGGTGAGCGGGCAAGGCCGGCCCTGGGGACGGCACTGAGGGCGCCCGGGAGCCTGGGGGAGGACAGCAGGGATGCCGGCCACGTCCAGGGCGGGGTGGGGGCTCTGAGGGCGCCTGAGGCCTTGCCCAGCCCCATCGCTGCCGACCCTGGGCCCGTGGTCGGGGTCTGGCCGGGTCACGTCTGTCTGTCCCGCCTCCAGGTGTCATCCTATGGCGGGACCCTCCGCTACGAGCTTCACTCGGAGCCCCAGCGGGGAGACGTGTTCATCCCCATGGAAAGCAGGCCGGACGTAGTGCTGCAGGTACTCGGACGGGGCGGATGCGGCTGCTGCGCGGGCTGGCGGGCAGCACGGCCGCAGGCCCTCATCTGCCCACGCGCCTCCCCAGGGCAATCAGATGAGCATCGTGTTCCTGGAGCCGGCGTACCCGGCACCCGGCCACGTCCACCGTGGGCAGCTGCAGCTGGTGGAGGTGAGCAGAGCTGGTCCGGGCACGCGGGGGCGACCTGGATCCCAGCACGACCCAGCGGGGGCCCGGGGGCCTGAGGCTGCCGTGCCCGCTCTCCAGGACGGAAGACGGGCCTGGGAGCGGGAGCTCGTCCCCTCCCCTGCGCACGTCACCGCTGCTGCTCTGGCCGCCTGTGTAGGGCGCTCCCGGCCACGTGCTGGCCCTCGAGGCCCTGACCCCCCGCTGCTGAGCAGCTGCTGGGACGCCAGTGGCCCTGCGGGTCCGTCTGCCTTTTGTCGCCTGCGTCCACCTCTCTTCCCAGCTCGTGGCATCTAAGGTGTCTTTGGCTGAACAGAAATGCAGATGTTTAATGTACTCAAAGTTCTCAGCTTTTCATGTGCAATTAGCGTTTTCGTGTTCCTTTAAGCGTCAGTCTCTCTGGAATCAGAAAGCACCCACCCAGGTTTTGTTTTAAAGTTTAAAGTGTGTCCTGTGTGGTTGAATTCTCACGTTTGGAGTCGGTTTCTGTGCACGGCGGGAGGTGGGGTTCAAGTGCTGGTCTCCCCACGGGTGGCGGGCCGGTCTGGCCCCGAAGTCACCCGTCCTGCCCCCTGAGCGTCGTCTCGGCCCACAGGGGAACTTCCGGCACATGGAGACCCACAGCGCCGTGTCCCGCGAGGAGCTCATGATGGTGCTGGCGGGCCTGGAGCAGCTGCACATCCGCGCCCTCTTCTCCCAGACCTCCTCGGCCGTCTCCCTGCGCAGGGTGGCGCTGGAGGTGGCCGGCGAGGTGGGCGGGGGGCCTCCAGCCAGCAACGTGGAGCTGTGCATGTGCCCTGCCAACTACCTCGGGGACTCCTGCCAGGTGAGGGGGGCGGGCAGCCCGCTCTGTCTGCCCCATTCCCCCCCCGCCCGCCAGCTTGTCTGCCCGCGCCTGCCCCCGTCACCTGTGGCCCTGCCTGCCCTCCGTGCACACGCTGCTCCCTACGCCTTCTCCGTCCACACCCGCCCTCCTCCCCCTCCCCTTCACGCGTCCGTCCACCCGCTCATCTGTCCGAGGGGTCTGCCACTGAGCACCCACCCGCTCAGAAGAGGTATCTGGAGGAGGAAGAGGCGGCCCAGCCCACGTTGGGGGGCTGCTCACCGGAGTCGGCATCCATACGGCTTTGGGGGTCTGACTTCGTGTCTCCAGCCAGCCAGGGCCAGGGTTCCCGAGGGTCGGAGCACGTGGTCCCTGGTCTGCCCTCGGGTCGGCCCTGCTTTCTTTCCTGACCACTTACGCCCCTGCCCCCAGGATTGTGCCCCTGGCTACTACCGGGATGTCAAAGGTCTCTTCTTGGGTCGCTGTGTCCCCTGTCAGTGCCACGGCCATTCAGACCGCTGCCTCCCTGGCTCGGGTGTCTGCGTGGTGAGTAGGGCCCAGCAGAGACACAGAGCGGGGGGGGCCAGGGCCCTGGGTCAGCACTGACGGATACACCGGGGTGCGGGAGGAGGGAGGTGTCCTGGGTGGGCCCCCGGCTGGCCTCGGGCCCGGAGTGTGCAGCACGCTGGCGGGAGAGCTGACCGGACCCTGCAGGGGAGACGCAGAGCCTCGCCGCCAGCGCCCCCACCTGGCCCTTCTGCCCCAGGGCTGCCAGCACAACACGCAGGGGCGCCGCTGCGAGCACTGCCAGGCCGGCTTCGTGCGCAGTGGGGCTGAGGACCCGGCGGCCCCCTGTGTCAGCTGCCCCTGCCCCCTCGCCGTGCCTTCCAACAAGTAAGCGGTGCCAGCCTGTCCCGGGTCCCGAAGGGCGGCTGGTGGCGTGGCCCCTACAGCCCCGGTGAGGCAGGTCACCGTCCCCCACCCGGTTGGGTCAGCACTGCCGTCTGGAGGCCGGGATGGCTGAGGCGGGCTTTCGAGGTGGGGGCCCCCGGTGGGTGTGCAGCTGTCACAGGACCCCCTGCGTCTCCACAGCTTTGCCGTGGGCTGCGTCCTGCGAGGTGGCCGCACACAGTGTCTATGCAAACCTGGCTATGCGGGCCCCTCCTGCGAGCGGTGAGTGGGGTGTGCAGGCCAGAGGGTGTGGGGGCGGGGGCTGCGGGGGCATGTGGGGGGGGCTTGCAGGGGGAGGTGGCGTGTGCAGGTGTGTGTGCAGGTGTGTGTGCAGGTGGGCGGAGGGACACAGTCCGCTAACCCCAGCCCCTCCCCCAGGTGCGCCCCGGGCTTCTTTGGTAACCCTATGGTGCTGGGCAGCTCGTGCCAGCCCTGCGACTGCAGCGGCAACGGTGACCCCAACCTGCTCTTCAGCGACTGTGACCCCCTGACTGGTGCCTGCCGTAGCTGCCTGCGCCACACCGCCGGGCCCCGCTGCGAGAGCTGCGCCCCCGGCTTCTATGGCAACGCCCTGGTGCCCGGCAACTGCACCCGTAGGCGCTGGCGCTCCGCTGGGGGCCTTGGGGGCGAGCTGTGGGGGAGGGAGGGGGCAGGCCGTGGTGTGGTCCCCCCGGGATGGAGGAGGGGGCGGCGGGGCAGAGCGAGGGGCTCAGGGCTCTTGCTGTGGCACCCCTTCTGCAGGGTGTGACTGCTCCCCATGCGGGACAGAGACCTGCGACCCCCACAGCGGGCACTGTGTGTGCAAGCCAGGCGTGACGGGGCCACTCTGTGACCGGTGCCAGGTAGGGCTGCCGCCGAGGGAGGGGCCTGCGGCTGTGGGCGGGGCCTCCTAGCTGGAGCCGGCAGTAAGGGCCGTCTGTGCCGCAGGAAGGATACTTCGGGTTCCAGAGCTGTGGGGGCTGCCGCCCGTGTGCCTGTGGACCAGCCGCCGAGGGCTCTGAGTGCCACCCCCAGAGTGGGCAGTGCCACTGCCAGCCAGGGGTGGGAGGGCCCCAGTGCCGTGAATGTGCCCCGGGCCACTGGGGGCGCCCTGAGGAGGGCTGCAGGCGTGAGTACCAGCAGGCGGGGTACTGTAGGGTGGCCAGCACCCCGGGGACCTCTGCCAGCGCTTACCCTGCCTCTCCACACCTAGGCTGCCAGTGCCCGGGGGGCCACTGTGACCTACACACCGGCCGCTGCACCTGCCCCCCCGGGCTCAGTGGGGAGCGCTGTGACACGTGCAGCCACCAGCACCAGGTGCTGATCCCCGGCGGGCCCGGCAACCGCGGCGTCCACTGTGAAGGTGCGCCCCGTGCCCTAGCCCCGCTCCCTGCAGCCAGCCCCGTCCCCGGGTCCTCCCCGTCTACCTGTGGGCACGCGGGTCCCGGCCCTCAGGGTCTGTCAGTCCCTGTGCTGCTGTGACCCCGGCGCGCTCTCGGTTTTCTAAGGGATCCCTGGACTTCGTGCTGACTCGCTGCTTCCTTTCTGGCCCCTAAGTGCTGGGCTCCCCAGCTGCCCCTTCCACCCTGGCCTTGCACCGACCTCCTGGCACCTGTCTGGTTCCCTACTCCCGTTCTGAGCCCGTTCTGAGCCCGTGCTGGCCTTTCAGCTGGTCCTGTGAGCTCCCTACTCCCCTCCGCCCCCACTAACCACGGCGCCTTCAGCGCAGCTCAGCTTTCCTGCGCCAGCTCTGCGGTCCTCGGCTGACGGGGCCCCCCCACCCCGCCCCCTGGTTCCTTCCCCGGCCCCGCACCGACCCCCGTGCCGTGCCGCCCGCAGTGTGTGACCGCTGTGTGGTCCTGCTTCTGGACGACCTGGAGCGGGCCGCCGCCCTCCTCCCTGCCGTCCGGGAACTGTTGCAGGGGGTCAGCGCCAGCTCGATGGCCTGGGCCCAGCTGCACAGGCTGAACGCCTCCGTCGCCGACCTGCAGGTAGGCCTCGGTCCGGCCCCCCAGCCCCCCCCCCCCAGCGTGCGGGGCCTCACCTTCTCTCCTCCCCAGAGCCAGCTCCGGAGCCCCCCAGGTCCCCGCCACGAGGCAGAACGGCAGCTGGATGCCCTGGAACAACAGAGCTTGAGCCTCGGACAGGACACACAGGGGCTGGACGGCCAGGCAGGACCCTGGGGAGCCCCTGCCTGGGAGGCCCCTCCCCCAAAGCTCCCGGGGTGCTCCTCCCCTGGAAAACCCCTTCCCACAGTAGAACACACCTCCAGCGATCCTCTCCCAGGGCCCCAGACTGTCCGCTCTCCCCTGAGGCCCCACCCTGTATCCTGACGGGATGCCGTGTCCGCAGGCCTCGAGAGCCCTCGCCCGGGCTAGGCAGCTGCTGGACAGCACCGAGGCGGCGTCGGGCCGGGCGCAGACACTGCTGGCGTCCATCAGGGCTGTGGACCGCATCCTGAGCGGTAGGAGTGAGCCCAGCGGGGCAGGGAATGGTGGGCAGGCAGCATGGTGCGCAGGGTCAGAGCGGGGAGGGCTGCCTCCAGGGGCTTGGTGCTGAAGGGCCCGTGGGGTTGGCCGTGTAGACCGGGCGATGGTGCCGCAGCCGAGCAAGTGGCAGGTGTGGCCGGAGAGGAGCGGGCAGGTGGATGCTGTGGGGCGTGCCGGCACCCTCTCTGGGGATGCTGGGCCCCCCTCCAGCGGTACCCCGTTTCCTGGGAAGACTTGCTGGCAGATGCCTTAATTACAAACAGATCTGTTGCCAAAAGAAGAGACTGGGGGGAGCAGGCCAGGCCCAGGGGTCAGGGAGGAAGTGAAATTTCAGCCCAGTGCTGACCTCAAGGAGCTGGCCGGGCGAGGAAGGCAGGGGACGGGCTGAACAGATGGGCAGCATGGTTTGGGGTGGGGGTGGGGAGGTCCGGTGGCCTAGCAGCCGAGCACAGCCGTGGCTGGGAGCCAGGGTCTTGCGGGTCATCCCGGAGGGTTCTGGGAAATGCGCTGGTGTCTGAGCGTGCTCGGGGGGCCTAGTGGGCAGAGGCCGGCCTGGGCAGCAGGCTGGACCTGACGACCCCCACCCTCACCCCTGTAGAGCTGGAGTCCCAGACAGGTCACCTGTTCCCGGCCAATGTCTCCACCCCGTCGGGCGAGCTCGTGCGCCGGACGCTGGCTGAGGTGGAGCGTCTGCTTGGGGAGATGCGGGCCCGCGACCTGGGTGCCCCGAGAGCAGCAGCTGAGGCTGAGCTGGGCAAGGCCCAGAGACGTGAGTGGTGTTGGCCCTGGAGGGGCAGGGACGGGGAGAGACTGGGCCAGGAGCCCCAGGGGTAAGGTCGGCAAGGAATGGCTGAGATCGGCTTGAGATGGAGCAGATGGGGGCTGGGCAGGTGCCAGGTAGGCACCTGGGATGCAGAGTTACCGCCCACACGACTGTCCCCGTTCGCGGCCTTGGCCAGTGCTGGCCCGTGTGCAGGGACGACTGACCAGCCACTGGGAGCAGAACCAGGCGCTGGCCCAGCGCGCCCAAGAGCAGCTGGCCCAGCACGAGGCTGGCCTCATGGACCTTCGAGCGGCCCTGAACCGGGCGGTGGGCACCACTCGGCAGGCAGAGGAGCTCAACAGCCAAAACCAGGAGCGCCTGGAGGAGGCCCTGGTGAGGGGCCCTCCCTGCCCCCCTCCCGCTCACCCTCCTGCCCTGCAGCCTCCCCGCTGACCTCACATCTCTGTCCCCCGTACCCTCTCCTTCCCCACGGCCTCCAGCGACGGAAGGAGGAGCTGTCCAGTGACAGCGCCACTCTGAGCGCCACTCTGCAGGCGGCCTGGAGCGTCCTGGCCCGGCTCTCTGGGCTCCTGCGCGGCATGGACCAGGCCCGGGAGGTGAGTGCTGCCCTCCTGGGGGCACCCAGGCAGGTTCGGGTGGGACTGTGCGTGCAGGGCACGGCCTCTGGGTTCCCACCTCTGGGGAGGGCCAGCAGGGGTTCCGGCTGAGGGTCCCGTTTAGCCCTCCCCACCCCCCAGGAGTACGAGCACCTGGCCGCCAAGCTGGATGGGGCCCGGACGCCGCTGCTCGAGAAGATGCGGGCCTTCTCCCCAGCCAACAGCAAGGTGCACTTGGTGGAGGCCGCCGAGGCCCATGCTCAGCAGCTGGCCCTGCTGGCCCTCAACCTGAGCAGGTGCGGGGCCCGAAGGGTGCCTTGGGCTCACAGCCGGTCTTTCCTGGGGCACGGCGAGTCTGGGGGGACCCTCGGGGAGGCTGTTGTCCCCCACAAGGCCCAGGCAGAAGCCGCAGCCCCAACTGGCTGCAAGGAACAAGGAAGGCACAGCCAGCAGGGAGCAGGGCAGGGTTGGGGCGGGGCTGGGGCAGCCGGCCTGGCAGGTGGGGGGGCAGGAGGGCCTGCGGGTGCCCACCGCCCCCCCCCACACCCGGTGTCCCGCTCCTGCCCCCACACAGCATTATCCAAGGAGTCAACCAGGACCGCCTCACCCAGCGGGCCATCGAGGCCGCTAACGCCTACAGCAGCATTCTCCAAGCGGTGCAGGCCGCGGAGGGCACCGCTGGCCGGGCGCTGCAGCAGGCGAGCCACACATGGACGGTGAGGCCCTGAACCCCCTCTCCACAGCCCTGCCCCCCACCCGGCACCAGCTCCTGCCAGGCACGTGTGAACCGCGTCCCGTCCCCGTGTCTGCAGACGGTGGTGCAGCGCGGCCTGGAGCCCCGAGCCCGCGCGCTGCTGGCCAATGGCAGTGCCCTGGTGGAGGCCGTCCTCGGGGAGCAGCAGAGGCTGGGCCGCGGTGGGTACCGGGGCGGGGAGTGGGGGGGGCCTGGACTCCGCTCACCTTTGTGGGGGGGTCGTAGGTGATGGCGTGAGTGGGGGGAGGGCTGCCTGTGTGGGAATCCTGCTTACCGTCCAAGGGCCACCACCCACCCTGACCTTGTGACGGGCCCGGGAAGGGTCTTTCCTGCTGTCCTGACTTGGGGGCCGTGTGCACACCAGCCTGTGGTGTAAAAGAGGCAGGAACACCCCTCTGCCACGAGAACCTTGCGGTGCTGGCAGCCTAGGGGCGGTGGCCCCGCTTTTCTGAGGTTCTGTCCCTTAACGTACGAGATGGGGAGAGACACAAGGGACCGGGAGGCTGCCTTGAGCCCACCGCTCCAGCGCCTGCCTAAGCCGGAGGCCTTCGTGTCCCGACGCCCCCACCTGTGCGCATCGGCCTGGCGCCATCCTTCCTGGTCAGGCAGGCGGGGCGGGAGGGGCCTGCATGCCAGGAGTGGGGGAGGGGGTGCCCCGGGGGCTGAGGCTGCCTTCCGCCACAGTGCGGGCTACCCTCCAGGGCACAAGGACCCCACTCCGAGATGCCCAGGCCAAGAAGGAGCAGCTGGCAGCCCGAGTCAGGGAGATCCAGGCCATGTTGGCCGTGGACACAGGTAGGTTGGCCCCGTCCTCGCCCTCCGCTTGGCCCAGGGTGAGCAGACCCCTCCCCCACGTGGGCGGCGTGCCGGTCAGTGCTGCCCAGTGGACTCTGCCGGGGGACACATCTCCACTCGGGCGGCCCCAGCCCTGGGAACCTGCCTCTCTGGTCAGGGGACCACACAAAGTAGCTCCCAGGAGTGAGTGACAACGGGAAGGGAACAGGAAGTGCTCTGGAGAGAAAGGGAAGTGGGTGGCGGCATGGGGGGAGTGTGCAGCAGGGACATTTCACCCCCAGAGGCGTGGGGCATTGGGCAGGACCAAGGGAGGGCACCGGCGGTCAGAGGGCAGCAGGGGCGGGTGGAGCGAGGTGGGCAGCATGGCCGGAGCCAAGGACGCAGGCAGGGCCTCTGGGCAGGGAGTGATGTGCCCCACCCAGGTCCGACCGTGCGGCTGCCCACTTGAGGGTAGAACGTGTCAGCAGGCTTGGAAATGGGGGCCGTCCCAGGCAGGGCCCTGGGACAGATGACGGTGGCCACGGTGGCCACGGGGAGCGGGCATCAGGGTGACCGGGCTGTGGCCTGAGAAGCAGGCGTAGAAGGAACCGTCTGGTAGAGGCCGGGACCGAGCGGTGCTTCCAGCGCCTGTTCGCGTGAGCTCCGTGGGGGGCAGGCATCCCTGTCGGGGGGGGCCGGTGGTCCCCCCAGGGGGTGGTCCTCGCCTGCGTCCCTCTGAGCTCGCCTGCCCGCCGCCCACCACAGACGAGACGAGCAAAAAGATCGCTCATGCCAAAGCCGTGGCCGCGGAAGCCCAGGCCACGGCCGCCAGAGTGCAGGCCCGGGTTCAGGACATGCAGCAGAGCGCCGCGCGGTGGCAGGGCCAGTACGGGGGCCTGCGGAGCCAGGATCTGGACCAGGCGGTCCTGGACGCGGGCCGCTCAGGTGGGCCCCTGGGGAGCAGTGCCCCTGATGGGGGGGGGGGCGCCCGGGGGCACATGAGGCAGAGGGTCCTCCCTCTGCTCCCCGCAGTGACCACCCTGGAGAAGACGCTGCCACAGCTGCTGGCCAAGCTGAGCCTCCTGGAGAACCGCGGGGTGCACAACGCCAGCCTGGCCCTGTCCACCAGCATCGGCCGCGTGCGGGAGCTCATCGCCCAAGCCCGGGGGGCTGCCAACAAGGTGGGCGCCAGGGCCGGGGAGAGTGGGCACCCAGGGGGCCAGACAGCGGACGCTGAAGAGCCACGTACCCCCTGTAGGTCAAGGTACCCATGAAGTTCAGTGGGCGCTCGGGGGTGGAGCTGCGGGCACCTCGGGACCTCTCCGACCTCGCCGCCTACACCGCTCTCAAGTTCTACCTCCAGACTCCAAAGCCGGCGTCCGGCCAGGTCACCGGGGACCGCTTCGTGCTGTACATGGGCAGCCGCCAGGTACCCGGCGGGCACGGCGGGCTGGGCGGGGCCAGGCACCGGGCCGGAGCAGGGGTGCTGTGCCGAGTCCCCCCTCCTGCTGAGTCTCCCACCGCCGTAGGCTGTTGGCGACTACATGGGCGTGGCTTTGCGCAACCAGAAGGTGCACTGGGTGTACCGCCTGGGGGAGTCCAGACCTGCCACCCTGAGCGTGGATGAGGACATCGGGGAGCAGTTTGCCGCTGTCAGCATTGACAGGTGGGTGGCCGGGCCCCCTGTGCTCCACACCCCCACCCGGCGGGGCCCACTCCTCACCTCGCCCTCCGCCCACAGAATCCTCCAGTACGGCCACATGTCCGTCACGGTGGAGAAGCAGATGATCCACGAGACCAAAGGTGACACGGTGGCCCCTGGGGACCAGGGGCTGCTCAACCTGCAGCCTGACGACTTCGTCTTCTACGTGGGGGGCTACCCCAGCAACTTCACGGTGAGCCCGGGCTTGTGCTCGCGTCACGGCGGGTCCTGCTCCGTGTCTGGCTGCCGTCCCTCGTGCTGCACTGAGCACCCTGACTTGGGTCCGTCCCGGGCAAGGGGCGCCCTGACTGTGCCGTGTGCCCACAGCCCCCCGAGCCCCTCCGCTTTCCCGGCTACCTTGGCTGCATTGAGATGGACACGCTCAACGAGGAGGTGTTCAGTCTCTATAACTTCGAGGAGACCTTCCAGCTGGACACGGCCGTGGACAAGCCATGTGCCCGGTACGTGCAGCCGGGGCCTGGCCCTCGCCCGGACTCGGCCTGCTCTTGGCTGACCCCTGTGACCTCTGACCTGCAGCTCCAAGGCGATCGGGGACCCCTGGCTCACTGACGGCTCCTACCTGGACGGCTCGGGCTTCGCGCGCATCAGCGTGGGGACTCAGATCGGCCAGACCAAGCGCTTCGAGCAGGAGCTCCGGCTCGTGTCCTCCCACGGGATCATCTTCTTCATGCAGCACCAGGCACGCCCGAGGCCGGCCCCAGGCCACACGCCCCGCCCGCCCGCCCCTGCGCCCCCTCCCCGGCCCGCAGCCCCGTTCCCTCCCCCCCGTACGGACTCTGCTCCCCCCCACTCCATGCTGCCCCTGCCCCTCCTCCCCAGCCCCGACCCCGTACTGACCCTGCCCATACCCCACCCCCCAGGACCAGTTCCTGTGCCTGGCAGTGCGGGAGGGCAACCTCACCCTCCTCTACGACTTCGGCACGGGCCTGCGGGAGGCCCAACCACAGCACGACCTGGCGCACAAGCTGCAGGCCCTGACCTCGGCCAGCAAGGCAGTAAGGCCGGGGGAGAGCAGGCGGGGGGCTCCCCCTGGGCGGGAGGGCCGGGGGGGCGCGGGGCTCCCCCTGAAGCCCCCTGCACGTGGCACTTCACAGATCCAGGTGTTCCTGCTGACGGACAGCCACGGCCACAAGCGCGTGCTGGTGCGCGTGGAGAGGAGCACCGTGTTCAGCGTGGACCAGGACAGCGCGCTGGAGCGGGCCGACGCCTACTACCTGGGGGGCGTGCCGCCTGACCAGCTGCCCCCCAGGTGAGCACGTGGTGCCAGGGCGGGCGGGGCCCCCAGCCGGGCGGTCACCCTAACGCCCCTGCCTCTCAGCCTGCGGCAGCTCTTCCCCTCCGGAGGCTCCATCCGCGGCTGCATCAAGGGCATCAAGGCTCTGGGCAAGTACGTGGATCTCAAGAGGCTGAACACGACGGGCGTGAGCGTGGGGTGCACGGCCGACTTGCTGGTGAGCCTGCCCCCCGCCCTGGCCGGCTGCACCCTCTCCGGGCCTGTGTCCTGGGCCCTCACCGTCACCATCACCTGCCCTCCCCTAGATTCAACGGGCCATGACTTTCCACGGCAATGGCTTCCTGTCCCTGGAGTTCTCTGATGTGGAACCCATCACCAGCTACGTCTACTCTGGATTTGGCTTCCGCAGCACCCAGGACAGCGGTCTGCTCTACCATCGGGGAGCCGAGGTGTGCCGGCCCCCGCTCCCCGAGGCGGCCGCATGGGGCTCGGGTGGCTGCGGGGCGGGAGGCATGCCCTGGCCTGGCCCACTGACCTGGCTGCTGTCCCCAGGATGAGCTATGCCAGGTGTCCCTGCAGCAGGGCCGCGTGACCCTCCGGCTGTTGAGGACAGAGGTGCAAACTCGAGACAGCTTTGCTGATGGTGCCCCCCATTATGTCACCTTCTACAGCAATGACTCAGGGTGAGCCCAGCCCCCGGGGCCTCTGGCTGCGGCGTCCAGGGACAGGGTGGCGGCAGGGCCGTGTGCAGGACAGGGCGGGAGCGCGCTGCTGTCCCCTGCAGGGTCTGGCTCTATGTGGATGACCAGCTTCAGCAGATGAAGCCCTACGAAGGGCCGACCCCCGCACCCGATTCCCAGCGCCCCCAAGCCGGCGAGCTGTCCTTGGGAGGCAGGCCGGAGACCAGCAACTTCTTCAGTGGCTGCATCAGCAACGTCTTTTTGCTGCGGTGAGCCTCCAGCGGGGGTCATGGGGGCCGGCACCCATCCCCCCGACCTGGCCCTGATGCTGAGCGCACTGCCCCCCTCAGGGTCGTGGAGCCGCAGCGCGTGTTAGACCTGCAGCAGTACTCCAAAAGCGTCAACGTGACCTCAGACTGCGTCCCCGCACCACGTGCCCAGACCCTGGGACAGGCACCTCAAGGACAGCGGGCTGCAGCACTGCGGCAGGTAGGGAGCTGGGAGGGCAGCTTGAGGCAGAGCTGGGGACGGTCGGAGGATGGCCCCCCCACATTCCTGCGATCCATCTGAACCCCCCCACCCCAGGCTCCCCGACGCAGCCGCCACCCCCCCCAGGACCATGGCTGCACGCCACCCCGGCCCCTGAGGACCATCCGGGACGCCTACCAGTTTGGGGGTCCCCTGTCCAGTCACCTAGAGTTTGCCCACGTCCCGGCCGCCCCTGGGAACTGGTAAGTGGGGGCCAGGCGGGGTGGGTTTGGAGGGGCCGCACGGGCTGACGGCCCTGCTTGGCTTCCAGGTCCCAAGTCTCGATGCTGGTCCGCCCCCGCGCCCCTCGAGGCCTCCTGCTCCTTGCCACCCCTCTCACGGCCAGCAGCCCCTCCCTGTTCCTCCTCCTGAGCCACGGACACTTTGTCGCTCAGACAGAAGGCCCTGGGCCCCAGCTCCGCGTCCAGAGCCACCAGCGTTCACGGCCCGGCCGGTGGCACACGGTGAGGATGCGCTGACAGGGGACACGGGCAGGGCCCTGGGCGCTCCCACCCTGACGTGCCCCTTCCTGCTCCCAGGTGTCTGTGCGATGGGGAAAGACTCGGCTCCGGCTGGTGATGGATGGGGTCCAGGCCCAGGCCCAGGCGCAGCCCCGCCAGCGCCTGGAGACAGGGAGCCCCCAGCCCCGAACTCTCTTTGTGGGGGGCCTTCCAGCCAGTAACTTCAGCTCCGGGCTCCCGGTGAGAAGCCCCCCCCCCCCCACCCCGCGAACCACCTGGCTCCACTCGGCCACCTGAACGCCCCTCCCTGGCCCCCGGGCCGCTCCCCGACAGCAGCCCGTCTGTGCCCCACAGGCGGCTGTGGGCAGCTCCGGCTTCAGTGGCTGCGTGAGGAGACTGAGGCTGGATGGGCGGCCTCTGCGGCCCCCCGCGCGGGCGGTCGGGGTCACGCCGTGCTTCTCAGGCCGCCTGGAGAAGGGCCTGTTCTTCGCAGAGAGCGGGGGAGTCGTCACTGCAGGTCTGGAGGGCGCAGGTGCGGCCCGGGCCCCTGGGACGGGAGTGGGGGGCCGGCCAGCCCTGCCCCCCTCACAGCCCCTCCCCACAGCCCCCCTGGGGGCCGCCCTGCCTGCTGTGAGCCTGGAGCTGGAGGTGCGGCCTCAGGGGGCCTCGGGCCTCATCTTGCACCTGGGCGGGGTCCACGCACCCCCCTACCTGCAGCTGCAGCTGCGAGAGAAGCAGGTAGGTGGGCGGGGGCCGCTGCTGCAGGGAGGGGCTGGGCCTAGCGAGGCCCTCCTGACTCGCCCTCCCCACCCCAGGTCCTGCTGTGGGCGGACGACGGTGCGGGGGAGTTCTCCACGTGGGTGACGTGCCCTGCAGCCCTGTGTGACGGGCGATGGCACCGCCTGGCAGGTGAGCGCCCAGGCGGGGCAGCTGCGGAACCCCCCCTCCTCACCCCCCCCCCCCGGCGGTCTCCGTGGCCAGCAGCCCCGGGCCCCTCCCAGCGCAGCCACAAGCACCCTGTGCCCACAGTGACCAAAGGCGGGAACGTGCTCCAGCTGACGGTGGACACGCGGAGCAACAGCACCCGAGGCCCCGCCGCGGCGGCCCCCTCGGACACCCTGGCCCCTCTGCACCTTGGGGGCCTGCCCGGTGAGTGTGGCCTGTCTGGGGGGTGCCCCACACTCACCCCACCTTCTGGTGATGGGGCAGCCGGGGAGACGGGCTCCTGGGGGTCGGTGGCGGGACCCTGGCCCCTGCTCCAATCTGTCCCCCCATCTCCCTCTGCACCCCCAGGGTCTGCGGACACACAGGCTGGGCCTACCTACCACGGCTGCATGAGGAACCTGGCAGTGAATGGGTCCCCCGTCACCTGGCCTCGCTCTGGGGGTGTTCAGGGGGCGGTGGGGGTCAGCGGCTGCCCGGCCACGTAGCGCCGCGGCCCCCCCCGGGGGCCCCGAGTCCACAGGAGGGCTGCCCCCGACGGGTGGGCTCCCGCCTCTCAGAGCCTCCAGGCCCCGCCTCGGCCAGTTCAGGTCAAGTTTGTGTCTACCTGGACTCCTCTAGGTTCTAGGAGTGAGGATTCTTCCTGGAAATGGTTTTTAAGTTATATCTCTTTAAACGAAAGGGTAAAATTCTGTAAACTGGGTTTTTTAATACATTTTCTCTTTCAGCTTTGTTGAGATTTTCCCTCCGATTTTTAATCACATGAGAAATCTGCCTGCTTCTTAAAAATTAAAAAATTGCTACTTCTGTTTAACGGAGCGTTGACTTTAATTGTGAAAGGGAAGCGCAGGGGTGGACGTCACCCCTGGACGCACTCGCAGGGGCGTTCCCCGCCCCCAACAGCCAAGGCTGGAGGGCGGCGCTCACACCGGGCCCCCTCCGGGCACACGGGAAGACCAGAGGTGGCAGGTAGAAGACCTTTATTTCTCAGCAAGCTGACGGGAGGCGGGCGCCGCGCCCCCGGGGCCGGAGGGACGTCAGTCTAAGCTCATGTCTTCCTCCTCATCCTTCTTCTCCTTCCCGTCGCCCTCCGGCGCGGGCCCGGCGCCGCTCTGCATGGCCTTGGCGAACGCCTCCACGTCTACAACGCATTGGGGCCCGTGAGGCGCTACTCCCGGATGCGGGCCCGGGGCTGCACGCCGGGGGGCACGGGGGCACTTACCGCCTTTGTTGGCAGCCTCCACGGCCTCGGCGGGCAGCCCGAACTGGCACATGAGGGGGCCCAGCTGCCCGGAGGCCAGCGCGGCACTGAACATGCCCAGGGCCTGCGAAAGAAAGCCAGACACCCCTGAGTACGCACTCGGTGAAAACACGGGGTGGGGGCGCAGGGAAGCTCGGTGACGGGGAGCTCTGCCCCTTGCACCGAGCACACGGCGTCTACCTGCTGGAACTGGGGCGAGGTCAGCGTGTTCTGGATCTCCTCCGCCGTCTGCGGCAGCGACTCCCCGGAGGGGAGGTAGGGCAGGAGGCGCTCCTGGACGTCGGCGTTGGCAAGGATGGGGGCCATGATCTCGGGCGTCAGAACACTGGCCAGGTCAACTAAGGCAGGAGCACGGAGCCATCAGCGGCTCGAGGCCGCCAAAGACCCGCGTAGGAAGCCAGCCGCGGATGCCGGGGCCGTGACATTGCTGGGTGCGGCAAGGTGAGGGGAACAGAGGCGACACACGTGCAGGGCAGCGGCTCAGCCCGGGGACGTGCTCAGCCCCGCGCCCTGGAAAGCCAGCCAGCGGGCAGGAAGGGGGCCGCGGGCACCTTCACCCCCCAGCCTGGAGCCGAGGAGCGCGCGTTACCTTGCTGGCCGCCTGCTGGCCCCGCCGGCACGTTCATAGTAGCTAGAATGCTCTGGAGGTCGCTCAGCTGGATGGGCTGGGTGGGGCTGGCTGCGGTGCTGGTTCCATTACCTGAACTGGGTGCGGGGCTCGGGCTGGTCACCGAGGCAGCTGCTGGAGCGGAAGGGGCGGGGGTGGCTCGGGTAGAAGAGGTGGTGGAGGACGGGGTGGCCGCTGCCGACTGGCTCCGCGAGCTGGGGGAGCGAGGGCAGCGATGGAGCGACACACACCCAGAGGTGCCCGCAGCAGCCCTGCCCCAGACGTCCCTGAACTCCTGGGACTCCCGGAAAAGTCTAGACCCTGAAAGGACCCTGCATGGGGATCTCTGTCCTTCGAACGAGGGGAAGCCTGTGGACACACCAGCGTGCTGGGCCGGGGCGCGGGGCTCACCTGGAGGAAGAGCTGCTCGCCGGAGGCCCTCCGCTCCCCAGTAAGCTGGCCAGGCCTGGCCCTGTCAGGGCCCCCAGCCCCCCTACAAGGGGCAGAGAGACACAAGCTCAGATGCTGCCCTCTCCCAGCCAAGCACCCTGCACAAAACCCAAGGGATGAGGGGAAAGCAGGGGCCACGGGGGGGCCGAGTAGCGACGGCCTCATGCCATCAGGCCCGGGCACTTCCGTCCCAGTCTGCAGAGGACGTGCTCAGCTCACGCTGAGGTGCAGCAAGCGCCACCCGGGCGTGCGAGACACACGGCCATCCTGCACAAGAGCGGGGGCGGTGGGGGACCAGAGGACCCCAGGCAGGACCCCCGCCCCAGCCAGCCGTGCTCCCCTGAAGCACAGGGGCCCTTCCCTGGGAACCAGCATGGGGAACACACGTTCAGAGATCACACGGAGCCAACAAGAAGCTTAAAGGAAAAACCGTTACCGCGAAGCGACCCTGACTACGGTGTGCGCGCCCAGCGCGGGCCGCGGGCTCACCCAGGCCTCCGAGGCCGGCGGGTCCGATGAGCTGCATGAGCTGGCTGTGACTCATGTTCCCCAGCAGGCTCTGCAGGCCGCCCTCGCCTGGAAGACAGGAGCTGCTCAGATTCAGGGCTGTTGCGGGGTTGACATCCATGGGACCCCGGGAAGGCTGGGGGACTCTGGCTGCACACTGGGACCCCTGCCCTCTGGCCGACGGGGCGGAGCTCAGACACCGCTGCTGCACTACCAGAAGGTGGGGTTGGGGACTGTCATGAACTGGGAGCCCTCCACGTCCCTTTACGACCACCAGCCTGCACCCTCAGGGGTCCAAGTCCTCGCCCTGTGCGCGGACATCCCAGCAGGTTCTGGGAGGTGACCGTTACCGCCCAGTGCAGAGAGCTCATGGCCGCCACTAGCGCCCGCCCCCAGCGCTCCAGGCATCGGCGGGTTGTTCAGGTACTCGTTGACCTTCCGGCAATGCTCCTCGTCCTGGTCCGTCTTGGGCTCCTGTGGGGGCGGGGGTTACACTGGAGCGGCAACAGGGCAGCCCGCCTGCCGCCGACGGGCTTACACACGCGGCAGGGGGGAGCTCGGGCAGGTGGCATTACCTGTGCACAGTCACACAGCACTGAGGACAGGGACGAAGTCCCACAGGATCGCCGGTGCTGTGGCAAAGCTGGTTCTCAGAGTGAGGACACCGAAGCGCTAAAAGCACCCCCTACACACCCAGCAATGCCTTCAGACCCTTCAGAATTGGACCCTTTACGAAACGGTCTAAGAACCACGCCTTCCGGTAACTTGGGTGAAGCCATTGAAAACACCCGGTTATGGCCCCACTGCACACAAGCGGCCCCAGCCGTGGCCTCTCAGGGTCACTGGGAGCTCAATAAAGAGGCTCTCAGGCACTCGCAGCCAGTGTCCCAAAGCGGCCCCAGGACCGTGAGACAAAGCAGCCACGACTCATCCGTCCTTCCCTGAGCGCGCGCTGCAGGCCTGCAGGGTGCTAGGGACACAGCGGCGGAAGGACAGAGTTCCTCACCCCCAAGGCAGAAGGAAGGGGGTAAGAGTGCAAAATTGGGAAGAACAAAAACAGTAGAGCTGGTGAAACAATTTCTTTTTTAATTATCATTATATATTTTTATTTTCGAGAGCGCGTGCCTGTGGTGGAGAGACGGGGAGCAGAGACAGAATCCCAAGCAGTCTGCCAACTAACAACTTTGGCCCAATGCGGGGCTCGAACCGACAGACCGTGAGATCATGACCTGAGCCCAAGTAGGACGCTTAACTGAGCCACCTGGGTGCCCCCTGGGGAAACAAGCCTGTGGCCCCATCTGTGTGCAGAAGTTTTACTGGTGGACGGCTGCACCCGTGCATGCATTTCTTGTCTACAGCGGCTTCACGCGCCTTCGGGAGAGGCACAGCCTGTCTGGCCCAGAGAGAGGAAAACCTTTTCTGCCTCGCTCTAGAAAGTGGCGGGGGGAGGGCAGTAGGCTTAGCCTCTGGTGAAGGAAAGGGGCAACATCTGTCAAAAGTGCAAATGGGGGCAGCTGGGCGGAGCAGTCGGTAAAGTGCGGGGCTCTTGATGCCGGCTCAGGTCATGCTCTCACAGCTGAGGGTTCAAGCCCCGTTGTCGGGGTCCATTCTAAGTGTGGAGCCTGCTTGGGATTCTCTCCCTCCCTCCCCCCCCCACCCCCACCCCCCCGCTCCTCCCCTGCTCATGCATACACTTGCGGGCTCTCTCAAATTACTAAAAAGTCAAAAAACAAAAACTGCAAATGCACGTTTAACCACTTCTACCAAATCCACTTCTGAATTTTAACACCGACGTCACCCCCCCTCCCCAACGGGAAACCAGCCTGGTGTAAAATTAGTTTTTAACACACCACCTGCAACTAACGGGAGGTGCAAACAGGCCCGATGGCCGACAGGTGGGAGAAGGCCCAGCGCGGCTAAACCAACGGAGTGCCGGCTGCAGCCGTAGGCACCGGGCAGCCCTGCTACACTGGCCCCAGATACCCCAATGCACACAACTGAGGGGGGGGGAGGCAGGGCTCAGAAAAGCCTGGGAGAGAACACTCCGTTTCTGTGAAAGGAGAAAGCGGTCGACCTTGCTTCCGCCGTCTGTGCTCATGGCCGGGGGTGGGGGACGAGAGCATCACAGGCCGCATGGCCGTCGATGCATTAAGACCAGGCCCAGTCCAGAAGCCGCTCGGTGTGCCAGGGAGTTCGGGTCGTGAAAGGGCACCGGGAGCCCAGCCACAAGTGTGCACACTCTGCAAAAGGGCCCCTGCTCTGCTGCCTTCGGCGCTGGGAGCCACACAGAAATTCTCAGGTTCTGCAGCAGTGACACTGGGCCAGCACCGGCTCTAGCGCCGGCGGGCAGGCTTCCGCGCTGACCTGGGACGAGGAGAGACAGCACGCAAAGGCCACCTACCTGCATCCAGAAGAAGAGCCGTTTGGACCCTGCCTTAAACTTGAGCACGTAGACCCTCCCGCTGGGGCACTGCGGCACTCGCTTGAACTCACAGTCGTCGGGAAAGATGATCAAATCCTTCAGAGAGCCAGAGGGGAGGAATCAGCATCCTCACAGGGAAACACGGGCCCCACATCAAGGGAGGGAGGGGCAAGCCACCGAGCAGGGTCTCCACTGGGTGGCGAGGCCGGTGTCACAGACACCCCAACAAGCGCATGAGGGCCGGAGAGGGGCTCGGTGCTAAACAGGGAAGGAGGCTTTTCAGCTTTTCAAGGGCTCTGAACAGAGACGTCTAGGGAATGACATTCCCAGGTGGGTTGAAAGTGGATCTGCGCTGCCCTCAACAAGGACAGACCGCGCTGAACACAACGAGTGCCCGTGGAGCACAGTGTTTACGCGGCTCCCTATTCCAGACAAGGTGACGGGAGCCGCCTACAGAGCCGGCGGGGACCCCGACATCCGTGAGCAGCGCGCCCCCAAGAGTAACACGGCTGCTGTGTCCCCGGAACCAAGTGAGGGCGGCTACGCGACCTTCTGGAAAACCGGGCC